GGATTTGAAAATATAGATTCTTGTGATCAAATAAACAGTATTTTGCGCAAACTGGCACAATTCAGTTGTGGTGTATACAAATTGCTTAAAATTTTTAGACAGCAAGCATTTTAGCTTAGCGAGAATGTTACGTAAAATGGAGTTTTTTGACCTATTCTATTGATTGTTTCATAGAATGGGATCTCATAAACTTATTTTGTTAACTTTCTTGTAATCCAAACTTGTTTTTAAGTATCCCTCTAATAATGTATTCTAATGTCCTAAAAATGCATTTTTTCAATTAAAATTTTTGAACAACTATTTCTCATTAATTAATTCAATAACTGAACTGAAACTTTTGATATGAGTTGATAGAGAATTTCCAGGCAATTGTGGTGTTTTCTATTTACAATCAGCAATAATGTCTGATCGGTAAGTCTTTGTTTTATTCTGTCTTTCATTTGAAGTGAATATTGTTCACTTATCATGTTGTTTATGTATGTAACTCTGTCAATATAAAATTTGAGTTATAAAACCAAATTATTACAGAAGAGAACCAAGACCTATACCGGAAGAGCCACCATTTAAAGCATATGTTGGAAATTTGCCGCTTGATTTAGTTCCTAGTGATTTGGATTCTATGTTTGAAAATTTTGCGGTATGTTTAATTCTTTTACATATTATTTCTGCTTGAACAAAATTTCTTACTGACAGAAGACAGAAGTTGTTAGAGCTAATTAGATTTGAATTTGATCGTTGAAGCATGTTACATTTAAATTAAAATAATATTGAACTTCACGAAAGGTATGCTCTTAATTTGCATATTTTTAACTTAAGATCTGAGTATTGTCTCTATTTCAAATCATAATTAGGTTATCGATGCAAAAATGATTCGCGATTATGAAAATGACAGATTTAAAGGTTTCGCTTATGTCGAATTTCGAACCCAAGAAGACCTGAAAAGTGCCCTTGCTTTGGATGGTGCAGTTAGTATTTCTTAATTTTCACTTTCAGCCTTATTTACATCCGTTATAAATTGGAATTCTAGACTTCAGTTAAAGTGAAGAATTTTATATTGTTACTTGTATTAATATAACAAATATTTCTTTTTGAAAATACTTAGAATTATGATGGAAGAATACTTCGAATAGATGTGGCTGATGCTCCACGTGAAAGGGAACGGAGAAGTGGCGGTCGAGGTGGCTTTGGTGGACGTGGGGGCAATTTTCGTGGTGGACAGTCATTGAGGGGTATTTTGTTTGTTGAAGACTTTTCCATTATATTTTCCACTGAATGATTGAGTTTAAATGTATATTATTGGTCTAAAAGTTGAGCCAGTCAACTTTAGGTGATAATAGACGTGGTGGAAGTTACTCTGGTGAACGTATAGGTAATAGAAGTGATAATGTGGATCATGATAGGTCAGGTAGAAGCGGTTTGGGTCGTGGAAAAAGTCATCCCCCTGATACTGATTCAATTCCACATGCAAAAGGTATAGCTTAAGTGATACATACTTCTACATTTTTTTGTATAGAATTTTTTTGATTACTTATAATTGTTTGACTTACTTTAGCTCCTGGTAGACGACAGCTAAAGTTGCAACCACGCACTACTGATCCGGAAGAATTGGAGAGATTAAAAAAAATCGAAGAAGAGGAAACAAAAAAGCGGCAAGCACGTATATTTGGCATGAAGGAATAGTTTTCATGCAGCTTTAGATAGCTGAAATGAATTAAATTTCTTGTTCTAATACACAATAAAGTAATAAAAAACTAGAGTTTGTTGTTCATTCGAACTGTTATTACTTTTCTGGAGAATTGATATTCTTATATTATAATCCGGCTTTTCTCAAGTGTTATGTTCTTCATCACTTTTCGCTTAATAGTAACATCGGTCAAGAAACCTGGTTTTGTTTAGGCTTAACTGAATAATATTTTGATTTTATATTTGCTAGGTATCATGATAAGGGACTTGATGTTGATGTAGCAAAAAGGATGAATGATATTTTTTACTGCTATCGAGAAGTGAGGTTCTTCATCTGCATGAGATAAATCTGCTTCACTTTCATATTGTTTAAGAGCTTTAGAAAATGAAATTTTTTAATTTTGGAATGGCGAATCAGTTTTTGTTTCAGTTGTAAAGAAAATTGCGAAACTTAGATGTATTGTTCTCTTTGCAAGTGATAGATTTGTTGATTTTTCAGATGTTCTCATTTCTTATTTTCTATTGGTACTTTTCATTTGAAGTATACGCAGTGTCTTGCAACATTCAACCTTTCTTTATTGGTTTCTTTCAGCAATCACAGTGTTCAGGAAAATTCATCGTGATATTAATTTATTATTTATCAAGTTTTTCAGGGTTTCAATTTATGGAAAGCAATTTTGTTCTCTTTTCTCATGTAGCTCGGTAGTATCATTTCTTTCTATCATGTATTGATGAGTTAGATTTCTTCTTGGTTTTGGGTCACCAGGTCTTGTCACAGTTCATTGTGCTTCACTCTGTCACTTACCTTTGCAGTAGAATTTGAGAAAAGATAGATGATGACATAAAATTTAGAAATTATTTTCTCTTAATATCCAATTTTGATTTCTGTTTTAGCCGCATATTAATTTCGGTGTTTTAGTAGGAATTCAAATTTAGAGAGCATGGAATGTTTGTATAATAAAAATCAGTGATTGTTATTGCTTGTTTCAGGCTATTGTTTGACTATAATAAGCTTATTTTGCGTCATTTCTCCTTTAGATTCTCAACACGTTATTTGGGCATAATTAACGAACCTTTATCTGCTTTTTTATCCTATCTTGCTGCTTAGTGATGTTAATTGTTCTTGTGCATTAAGAACTGAACAAGTTTGCATCAAGCTATAAGACGTTTGTTATTCTGTAGTACATGCTAATTAGTATATTATTGATATATAATATCAAGAGTTATTTTTTCTGAAGTTGAAATCATTTCCATGCATTTGTTTCACAGATTGAAAAATCTTCGAGTTATAAAACTGGTTTTTCTAGACTTTCTTGATGGACTTTAATTTCTGAGTTTGATTCCTTTTGTTATTCTAATGTGGAAGCTAGTTCATCCTAAACATGTCGACTATCAAGCTGAGATTATGATTGTCAACCACTACTGATGGGTATGAATGTTCTTGACTACATTCTGTTTCATTAATGCTAATGTAAATATTGTTCATGTTTCGGATTCAATAAATTAAAGTATCATAAATGTGAATGCTGGCATATTTTGTTGCACGCATGGAGGCATCCACTTGTTCTATTATTTTGGCCACTTACTAAAATTTGAGTAAAATTTCAAGAAGTTAGAAGGATTAGTATAGCTGTTTTGGTGCTTTCGTATATAAGAGAGGTATAAACAATTGAATCACTTTTGTGGTGAGTAGAACTAGTAGGCAAATTATAGCTTTTTTTTCCTTTGTATTTTGCGGTGTAACGGAAGTATAAGTGTCGAAATATTTTGCTCTTTAAGTTATAGTTGGGCTTGTCCTGTTAATCCCTTTGTGTGTATTTCAACTATAAACTCGTCCTGTTATCGACACCATTGTGTGTGGCTCCACTTGCAGTTTAGATGGGTACAGTGTTTATAGTTGAATATACACAAACAGATTCCGGCTTGAGTTTGGCTTGAACAGCAAGATGGGAGGATTAGAATAGAGATGGGAAATTGTCATCATTAGCAATCTGTGACTTCTCATAAAATTCTGTGAAGTGTACTTGTAGTCTATCATTTGACTGGGCCAATTAAGATGGTCATATATGAATGAAGTGTGGTGGCATATTGTAATATGAATGTTTCTGTTATATGCTCAGCAAATCGAAGAAGGAAGGGAGAATTCAAAATCAGGAATCAGATGTAGTAATTCTGTATTTTTTGTGAACCAAGTCACATGTGTAAATAAAGAATTCTTTCGAGATTTTTTATTTATGTATTGCAATTTTTTCACTACCTTCAAACATTTCTTAGCTTCTTAGTGAGATTCAAGAGAACCAAATATGGAATTACTATGACTAATTTTCGCTTTGTTGTCGCTCAAACACTATATTTTTTAAAACTATATAAGAAGTTCTCCCATTTAAATTGGTAAATAGAGTCGGTCAAAGTTCTCAGTTTCCAGCAAAATTTGTATTTTGGTGAAGTAGAGGTCTGCAATACTATGGAAGAAACTATACGTCAAAAATTAACAAGTGGGCTGAAGCCATATCATTTGGTTTGTTGATCTGTTAGACATAAAGTTTTGAACTAACATATTTGAATTGAAAATGATGGGGTTGTGTACTTTTTTAGATGTCTCCTTCTTTTGTCTTTCTTAATTTACTGGAAATTGCGTTGTATTATTTGGATAAAAAGTACAAACTTTTGCATTTATGGTTTTAATTATTTTGGGAATAATATATCTCCATGGTATTATGATAGTGCTTGCTTAGGAAATTGAAGACATCTCAAATCAGTGTGGGTTGAAATTTTGCCTCACAATCGTTTCTGATAGTTTTAACGGAATTACCAGATTGGCATCGCATAGGTAATGATATTTTCTCAGTACCTCTGTCTGTCATTTCTTAAAAAAATTTAGTGATCAAAATATTTTATGATTTATATTTTAAGAAATTCAGTCACCTCAAATCGTGAAATTAATTTGGATATATCTTCATTGTGAGTTTTAGACATAATTTTTTGACATACGACTTGATGTTTAGAATTTAGTGTAATGAAAAATTAGATACAGTTTTGTGAAGAAAATGATTTAGGTTAGTCCATGACGTTTTGAAGGATGAAATGGATGCGCTGCATGCATTGGTAATCAAGACGTATACACGTGATCAATGGGACATAAGAGATGTTGCTTAAAATGGTACAAATTTCGTCCGTGATTAATTCAGTTCATGACTTTACGATAATTCTTGATACTTTTTGACCGTTTTTTACATTATTTTGTCGGTTTGTTTTTAGGACATCCTATGCATCGGAAAGAAGCTGTCAGCGGTACGAGGAAAGGACACTTGTTTTCAATTGATTGTTAAAGCATTAATTTATTATGTAGTGTAGTAATTTTACGTTCTGTAAACATCAAAATTTGCTATATATGTATATATATGAATTTCTTTACTCAGAAAACAAGAGCTTTGACACATGTATAATCCACGTATGATTTTATTTTCACTTTTCTTTTCGCCTGATTCAGTCACTGAAGCATTAATTATCATAAAATTTGCCGTGGCTTTTGTACAGCTGAACGATATTTTGACTCGTTTTTTTCGAGCACTTAATTCTTATAAATATTCGTTTGCACAATTTATCTTCTGCTTTCGAAGCAGGTATAGAACTGCTTAACTTCTGTATCAGAAACTTTTATTAAACTTTTGTTAGCCAGTTTCTTTTGGAATTTAGGGTGTGACTAAACGTTTGGAACTATTGATATTTTAAGATGAAATATTTGCCTTAAATCATTATAATTTTAATTTTTGTAGATGGTTTTAGGACGAAACATTTATAGTGTTCACTTACAAATAAATATGGTGTTAGTAGTAAGTTTTTAATAGATTTTTCTACAAAATTTATGATGGGCGGTAGTTACAGATGTTTGTTTATCAATTATTGAAATGGACTTCTGATAATCCTACAAGTGAAGACGAACAGTCAAAAGAGGAAATTAGTGAGCAACTGAGATCGAAATTTGTCTCGGCTTGCACATATTTACCTACTGCACTCAGTGAATTTCAAATCTCACGCAAGAATCAGCTTTATTTTTACGCTCGCTATAAACTTGTTACTGATGGCAAAGCAGGTAACCACAACTGTTATTTTTTTTTGAAAATGCGAGTGAATGAAGAAAAATATTTTGTAATACTAGTTATGAAGATCACATTGAAATGATTTACTCGCATACTAATTGTAAAATAGTGAAGCAATGACAAATAAAGTTTAAAGTCTAGTTCCTGTGTGATATAATATATTGAGATTTTCGTTAGCAACTTTTTGTTACTTTTGAATTACGTAAATTATTTAGTCAGTATCCTGTATAAATGGAACAATAATACTCTATAATCTGATGAAATTTCGAATTTTGTTTTTTCAGGCAACTGATTTAATTAAAGGATGTCAGAATTTTTGCATAAATATGTAAGATTTATCTCTGGTAAAGTATTGTTCTTTAATTTAAGTAGTGATTGATGTAGTAATTGTTAGATCCTTCTAAACGACCCAAAATATACGACGTAATTGCGCGTGAGAAATTCGATGCGTGGTTAGCTTTAGACGACATGTCTCGTGCAGAAGCCATGAGACAGTACATTGCGAAGATGATTGAGCTCAATCTCGGTTGGAATGGAACTGAAAACTATCATAGTCATTATAGGATGAGGCCGAGTACGATGGCTGATTCAGAATCCATTGAGGTAACTAAAATTTTTCATATGATTAGATTCATTTGCTAATATAATCATGACTATTAATGGAATGCGTTTTGCTCTGCTGGAATAAAAAAATTTACACTGTTTCCAAGTTTAGCGTACTTTGTATCACCTTTTCAAAATTCTGCTTCTTTCCAGTGTCATCAAAATATGTTTTTAGTGACATTATTCCGCCCTTTTTTGGCTTTAAATAGCCAGTTTTCCACTGAGTGCTAGCTTCGACTTTTCATTCACAACTATAATTTTTTATTTTTTTGAATTAATATTTCTGCTCATTTTTTAAGGCTTGTTTAATTTTTCTTCCTACTATTGAGATATAAACTGGTGTTTGAATGTCAGTCCTAAGTTTCACTTCACTTCGTTTTTCTAATTCACACTTCAGTTATTATTTTTAGACAAAAATGATGTGAAGTTCTTGCATTGTTATTTCCTATTGCCATAAATAGTTACACTGTGGAGTGAAGTTCTATTATAAAGATGTCTACTTCTTTTTAGACCGAATCCTCTCAAATGAGTATGGAACAGCTTGAGTGGTTTGATGCCTTAGATGAAGGCAATATCGATAAGTTAAAAGACCTTTTAGATGGCAATCCTGGGCTACTAGAAGAAAGAGATGAAAATCAAGTATTTTGTTTATCTTGAAGTGACAGATGTCTAAAATGACTTGCTGCTTAATCTATTTTTTGAGTATTGTTTGCGTTTTTAAAGTAGCACCTTTCTTCGAATTCTCAATAAATTATTACCTAGTGTTAGATTGAAAAAAATTCTAGAATTACGATTTAGATTTTTACTTTATTGCGGTATCATTTGTTTATTGTGCATGTCCACATAAAGCAGAATTTTTCAGTTAACTGCACTGCACTGGGCTTCTGATCGTGGAAAACTGGAACTTGTTGAATTCCTTACCGGTGCTGGAGCTAATGTTAATATTCAAGATTATGATGGACAAACACCTTTACACTATGGTATAATTTTTTGGTACAGATAGTAATCTATCATGCAAAAATTGGTATAATATTGAGCTTAAGGAAATTTAGATAACTTTAAAAAGCAGAAAATATACTCGTAATTCCTTTAAATATTACATGGTAACCGATTCTTGCACTATGTCAATAATTGTGGTGCATCACACTTGCCTTACAATATATTCTTCCTATGAGAGGTTTTCATCTTCGTAGTAGAATTTATCGGAGGAATATAAATTAATAGATTTTTAACTCTTCAGGAATAGTAACACTGAAAATTCTCGTTATATATCGGGAGTGCGTGAATTTTTCTCAACGCATGCTTAAAAATTATTATCTTTGCAGCTGTTTCGTGTACTCACCGATCTGTAGTGGATTTCTTGCTGAGGAAAGGTGCCGATCCTGTAATCGCCGACTTTGAAGGAAATTGCCCGCTAGATATCGTTAGTGATGCAGGTATAAAGAAGATGTTGGAGAACGCACTAGGGGGAAAATAAACTCATAAATCCTCTTTCTTTTTAGCTGTGCAAAACCTTAATAGTCAAATTGTGCTCATTTTAGCTTTTATGAAATCTATGATTCTTATCATCAATTTTCCTTACTTATCGACTAATCAGCTTCTAGTTTTTTCCAATTTATGACATGATAGTCAATGACGCTGGAACCTAGCTTCAGATTTTGTACAAATTTTTGCATATATGTCATGATGTTAATAATTATACCGATACATTGTGCAAAAGCACAGACATCAAAAAGGTCATTGGCTCAAATTCGTTCTTGCAAAGAATCCAAGTATCATTTTCCGTATCCTCAACAATTTCTTGAAAGGAGTCTTGGTTGAGATACAAACATGCACCATAATTCTTCAATTGTTTTTCATAGAAAGCATAAAATATGAATGGTTCACTTTAAATATTCGTTCAAGGAACTCATATGAAGTGTTATTGAGACAATGGAATTAGTTTTTACAATGCCTTGACTCTGGTGTTATTTCTGCGCAACATGACAGTGCATAGCTTTTTCACATGGATAGACTTTGGAAGTTGTATTTTCGAATTCCTGTTAGTAGAACTGAGGTGTTACGTACATAAATTCAAAAAAAAGTTCAAAATGAAAATCTATTTATTAGACATTTCCAATCAGTTTCAAAGAACAGTGTGTTAGATCATTTCCATCCATACAGGAAAGTCCAGTTTACATTGCAGAATAAGGGGGACATTGGAGTAATTTGCCGATAAGTACAACCCCGTTTAGTGAACAATAATAAGGTAAGCTTGTAACGTGCACAACCTGGACTGTAATTTCAAGAATCTCAGATTATACCTCTACACCTATTTATAAATTACAAATAAGTTATTAGGTAAGGTATTGGTGTACAAGGCTCATTAATGGAATAGAAAACTGTAAGGATATCCTTGATATTTACTCCGGAATATAGACAGCAATAGGCTAAAGAACACTACTACTAGTCCCAAACCAACGAATGCCATAACTGAAAATGACAGTTCTAAGAAATGTTGGGAGAGAATTTGCTGCTATATATCTCTAATAGATTGAAATCTGAAGAAAATTTTCTGCGATATAAATGTAAACAATAGATGACTAACTTCGCCGTCGTCCTGGATCACCCTTGCCCTCCACAGCATCATTCATCAAAATAAAACCTGCTGTAATTGCTGCATACAGTATTGCAACCAAATATGTTTCCGCTAAGAGCTGAAAGCTTACTGGAGTTTACTAAGCAGTCTACTTTAAGATGAACAAAGATGAAATCCATAATAATGGAGTACAAGACATGAAAATATAGTCGCATAGGTTGCAATACAGAATAAGGTTTCTTTTTTGAGGAATTAGAGGTTATTTCTGACCAGACAGCTATACTTCCCATATTTCTTCAACTGCAAAGAAAAAGCACCTGATACTGAGTAGAACCATGGATAAAACTTGTTTCCCGAGTATGTGGGTTAGTGATGACAAATGGAGGACCACGAATATGATTCCACATCTGTCCGCTCATAAAAGCGAATACAATGCATAGGCACACTAATGCCCAACTTGTTCGATTATACAAAAATTCAAGATTATTCCTACGCATGTATAATAAGCCCAATACGAGCATTCCTAACAGAAGAACAACCACTAGAGCTGCATAACTTGGTGGACGAAGAACACGGATCTAAAGTATAACAAATAACTATTATAATACCCATTGTCTGCACATTTTGTTTTATAATAATACTTTCAGTGGCAGCAGCCAGGAATTATAAACGAAAGTGAAAAATATAAAGAGTATATGAAGTAAATGTAATCAAAAATAAACTTGTATATCCGTTCGTTCAAAAACAAATTTAGCCATGCTATCAGCATCAAAACCTAGCCGTTCGAAATCCATTTGATCAGCCTTTTTTTTACTACTTTTTGCTGGAAAGTGAAAGAGCACTGGTGCAACATTAAGATTCATCTGTTGAAAGATTTGTGATGACTCTTCATAATCGACAACTGCAAAGTACAGTGCTTTCAACTCCGGATACGCATAACGATACGAATTAGCCATAATATAAAATTCATCATATGCAGGCCTGGAATATTACAGATATACGCTTAAAACTCACATGAATTCGCGATTAAGAGAGTTTAGAATTATTAAGATTTTGGTTAACAAGGCCCACTTGCAAACGTGACAATTGACATCTGCAGAAAGTGCCGTAAACATTGCGATTACAGAGTAATTTCTTGGTGCACTTCGTACATATGTTTTCCAGCGATCAACGTTCATATTGATTAGCGGCCTCCTGTACATCCATTCCTAGACCAATAAATTAATGGCCGAATCATGAAACCTCAGAGGTGACGATATTAAGCTGTGTCAACTTACTTGCAAATTCTTAACTTTCTCATCCAAAGACAAACTCTTCTGACTAGAAGTCCCTTCCAACATTGAAAATACTACAACTAATAGTATTGTTGATATCCCCAAATTATCCATCACGAACTACCTTTGCTGAAAAAAAGTTTAATCTACCATCCACCAGAATAAAATTTTTTACGAAAAGGCAGTGTATATTGAAAAAGAAAACATAAGCATAGAAACTTTATGTCTTTGGCTAACTGTACTATCCAGTTACTCATTCGTAAAAGATACCAAATAGTAAGAGAACTATCCCAACAAAACGCGTCACAACAAGTAACCACCATTAAAATTCAGCTCTTTATTTATTGGAAGCAGCAAAATATCACAATGAACTTTCACAATATGAAGAAGTATTTACTGCCTTGCCATACAATATTTTCTCACATACACTTTATGTCGTGGTAGTTCACACTTTGCAAGTACAATTAGCAAACTTTTTTCGTTATAATGAAAACAATTCTACTTCCAAACTATAATACGATAAATAATTTTTTCAACAATTCATTTCTCAACTTTAGCATAAAGAATCTATCTGTACAACAAAATAAATAAGCAATATCCAGTTAAATTATTTCTAAACATTTCTCGAGTATATATTTTCTTTCACCTATATGCTCACATTAAGATTGATGAAATTAAGACTTTGCCTTACTGGCCCCAAAACTACCAAATCCCATGGCTGAAGCAACTTCAGCATCAACTTGCATTTCAGGTTCAGGGCGCTTCCGTTTCTTATGCTCCAAGCGTTTGGCTTTTTTATAATCGACCATGCGTGCCTTAAAGCACTACAGTTGATAACCACATGTGACATGCTTTTAAATCAGATATTAATCTCCTCAGAAATTAACATTGACGAGGCCTTCAAACTTCATGAAATTTGCATACAAGATTTACATACCTCTTCTTCTCGTAAATCCTCCAATCTTTCATTTATTTCACCTTCTTTTTTTTGCAGCTCTTCTGAATGAAAATGGAATAAATAGGATGGAAAAAGTTATATGAAATGATTTTCTACAAAAAATTATAAAATTACCTACATAAATTATACTATTCATACTTTGATTTTTTTTAAAGGCAAATCGCTGCCGTACTTCTTCCAGCGTACTTCGTTTAACTTTCATACTCATTCCCATATTACGCTGATGATTTTTGCCATTAATATGATCCAAAAAATTTATTGAATCTTTCACAACACAATCACAAACATCACAGTAGTAACCACCAGTTTCAGCAGATGGTGTTGTTTTGTTGATCACAACTGTTCGTCCAACCTTCGATTCTAAATCTACCTGCAAAACAAGTATGACCTCAAGTCATGACTGACTGCAGGTTTCAAGTAAGAGTCCCTAAAAATAACAACCCGCCAAATAGAGAATAAATTTGGTAGCGTTCTGAATAACTTTTGTCTGTAAATTACATATTTGTAAGACTCTCGATTCTTTAAAAACTGCAGAATTCGGTGTTCAAACCTTATATTCCCGAGCTTTCAACAATTCCCTCTTTACTTTCGACTCATCTGGAAATCTCAAAAGCTTCCGTTTTCCTCTTGCTTCTTCCTCTTTTTCCACTAATAAACGCTCCCGTGCCTTTTGTTCATATTCCTCCCGATCCCATTTTCGTCGATGATCTGCGCTTGCAGAACTTGTTGGGCCATAAACTGACATTCACTCTCTGTTGTAAAACAACTTTAAAAAATTTCTACAAAACAGTACTGTAACGGATAAGAGAAAGTTCTCAAATATAACGTGGGCATAAGAATGATATGAAAGTTCTCAAACAAACAGCTGCGGACTTCATATTGCGATCACTGTTCTAAAGTTACAAACAGAAGTAATGTTCACACCGCTTGCAATCAGATTGATGTACAATACATACCACCCTGCCCTGTAATATATACTTAATTTGTGTAAATCACATGCGATTTCTATTCATCAAGCGCACTGCACAGTCCTGCCTTCACTACAGTTACACAAATACTAAATGCACTGATATGAATTGAGAAAGTATTGCTTTACATGCTTTGCAGGGCTGAGAGCCAACTGTTCTGCTAAGCGGTGACGTGCTAAATACTATTTCCGAGAGGTACATTATTATCACTTCAGTGTTGGGTTGCTCTATTATTTTCACTTCTTTCTTCAATTAGTACATTGTACTGTTTGGGCATTATTGTTAACATGTTTCGGCCATCACTGTACTCTATTATTGTCACTATTGTCATCAATAAAAATAATAGTAATAATAATACTAGTACTAATACTGGTTAATTATTATTATAATAATATAATAATAGTAATAATAATAATAGTAATAATAATAATAGTAATAATAAATGGTAGTAAAATAAAATTCATATCACAGTAATCGATAATAATTATTATGGTTAATAGTTAATGATAATAATAATAGTTTTATTATTATTATTGCTATTATTATTGTTATCATATTTTTAATGCATTATTACTGTTACAATAATAATTATTATTATCAGTGGTGGTAGCAAAAGTATTTATAGTGTCATGCTATTGTTGTTGTTATTCATACTATGAAAGTTTTTTCAATAAACTTATTTGTCGCCCGGACTACTATTGTCCAGCAATTATTTTGTGAACAAAATATTAAACAATAGTTGGGGGCCCGAAATTTGTTGGATATTAGTAAGTGAGAGCCGAGACAAGCATACTTTTCAATTAAGTGAAAAATAAAGGTGGAGCTGTTAACATAATTATCTGCAAAGAAAGTTCCGCAATTTTAAAAATGACCAGCAGTTGGCCTCTGTCCCTCTCGTAATCACTGCCACAATCGCAGTCAGTTGTTCTATAAATATGTTATTATTATAGCTGTGCTAATTTTCTCTAATTCTTTTGTTCAGAGTTCGAGTGAATTCATCAACGTCTGATTCATTTTATATTTAAAAGGCCTTCTGGCTATGATGCAGTGATGCATAGGCAAAAATATGACTACAAATAGTAGTGTAATAACATTGAAGTAATTGCATTCTGATGTGATTTAATAAAGATCTTTTTTCACGTAGATTTTACATAATATCTCTGCTCTGTACAAGTTTTCATCCAGCTTTTTCTCAAGCTGAGAATTAAAAAATGTGACGTAGTAGAAATATAGTGAAGAATTTGCAGCTAGACACACGGTACAGAAGCAGACTTCATTCACTCTTCTAAGTTTTGCTTCATACTCACATAGAATAAGGAATCAAAAATTTTTCTCTAATCCATAGAAACGTTAAGGCTAAATATGCATAAGACTTAGCATAAGTCATATAGTTAAAAGTTACTATCAAAGATAGAACTTATTTTACACTACCACTTCTATCTTATCACAATATACAATTTATGTGAATGATCTAATTTTTTACTTTTAATCAGAGTACATTATGTTTTTTAACTTCTATAGATGATATCACTTCTATGTTATTAGTTATCAGTGTGAGATGGATGAGAATATCAGTGCGCTACAATCGTACTATGTCTTCTCTGTTTGAGATCGTTGTGATAAGACATTGTTGAGTGAGTTTAGCAGGATGAACTGCATTCAGTCTTAGTCTAGTCCTCACAAACTTGCCCTAGCTTTTCACCATCTGCTAAGAGTTAGTTAGTTGTGAGGTTTGCTTCAATCTGTTTTATTTGCTTCTCATATTTATGCTTTCTTTCTGACGAATTTCAATTTCACTTTATATTGTACTTCAATCTGCTATTATCAACGACTGACATTATTTAATTTAGTTTTTGTAATCTATTTTTTATCAGCCTCAAATTAAGAATTATTAGTGATTAGTTTTTCAGACTTAAGTTGTAAAATGAAATTGTGTAAGGCTTAACTGATCACAATTTATAAACAGTAATATTGCTGAAGAATATGGTGATTGATTGGCGATGGTTTGATCATTTATACAATTTATAATTTAAAATTGTTGCAAGTATTACTGGAAGAGGAAAATGCCAGCGATAAGTAAAGGAAATCGAAATCGAGATGAAGTGAGCACGGAAATTGAGCACGTTGATCGTGGGATACACACATTTCAGGAACTTTCCCATATATGTCAGTTATTTACCTGCCAATTTCTTTGTTCAGTTTGCTCAGATTTGTTTGGTTTTGAACGTTTTTCAATAATTTGCAGAATTTAATATCTGCATTTGTTAAATAATGCCAATAACTGATTTGCGTTGTTCTTCAGTCAATAATTTGGCGATAAAAAGATTAACTTTGAGTCACAACAAAATTTCTTCGATCCCTCCCAACATCGCTGATTTAGTCAATTTAGAGGTATTTGTATTCACGTTTTGCTTTGAATTATTGTAACGAATAACTGCTGATTCCCGCTGCATTTTTTTAGAAACCACAGTCCATGATTTTCAGAGCTTGAATCTGTGGAACAATCAAATTGAAGATTTACCGACATCGATATCATCGTTGAGTAAATTACGAATTTTAAACTTGGGGTTAGTAATTCATTTCTTTTACTTGTATGAAATCTGTGGTCAAATCATGTTGATATTTTATCGGCTATCTTTAGAATAATAACATCGTGTGCAAATTTGTTTAATATAGCATTTTTCTTCTAGAAAATATGACTTGTAATGAATCGTTTTGTTCTTTTGAAAAAGAACAGTTTCTAAGAAACTAAAAAGTATAATTTTTAGGATGAATCGATTAAATATATTACCGAGAGGTTTTGGATCATTTCAAGCATTGGAAATTCTCGATTTAACTTATAACAATTTGAATGAGCGAAGCTTACCTGGAAATTTCTTTTTCATGCGTTAGTTCGTCTATTTTCTATGGAAAAACTTATTGTTAGAAATTACATTATAAAGCTAGTTTGCATTTGTTTACTGCAACATTTTTCATACTTCTAATGTCTTTTGTTCAGAAATTTATGAATCGTCAAAAATGGAATTTTTCAGCATCGCTACGAGCATTGTATTTGGGTGATAATGATTTCGAGTATTTACCTGCTGATATCGAGAATCTTTCAAGTTTACAAATCTTGGTACTACGTGAAAATGATTTAGTAGCACTTCCAAAAGAAATAGGTAAACTGTATCGCTTAAGGGAACTACATATACAGGTATCATTAGTCGAAATAATAAAATGTTTCCATATGAACAGTGCCAGTTTTCAAAAATAATTTGTCTTAAAAATAAGAATTATTATGCATTAAACTTTGTAACGAAAATTTTGAATTCTTGAAATAAATTATATACTTATGAAGAATCTGGTTACTCTAAAACTTTTTTTATTTTGTAAAGGGGAATCGCTTGACCGTGTTACCGCCTGAAATTGCCGGATTAGATCTTGTTGGTTCGAAGCAAGTGCTTCGGCTTGAAAATAATCCTTGGGTACAACCACTCGCAGATGCGTTGGCAAAAGGTGCATATGTCTTGCTGCACTCTTTTTCTGCATACTTATACATGGAAAATGTTAATAACTGCATTCATTTAAACAAGAAAAATTTCTCTATTATAAGCACATTTTATTTCTGCAGATTTTTTGAACAATTTTACCAAATTGTTTCTGTAGGTCCACTTGCTCTTATGGATTATCTTCGATCAGATTCGTACAAATATCAATATGGACGTCAGGAGTCAGGAACTGGTACAGTGCAGCCAAAAATTCGAAATAAAAGTAAAAAAATAAGCAGGCAGAAGGTAAAACAAGGATGCTAAAATATAATTGATTCATGGTAATGTTTATTATGAATAAGTTTAAAAACTTTTATTCTTTGAATCTTACTGAATTTTACACGAATCTTATCGAAGAACATCGCGAAAATCAAGATTATTTTCTTTAATAAATATAAGTATACTCGAAAGAGAACTGTTTTATGTAATCTATATGTACAGAAAGTAAAAGCGTGAAGATATATTTGAAGGTTTCCATTTTCACCTGACAAGAATGATGTACATTGTAGGGAATCGCCCAATCTTGGCTTCATGATTCTTTTAAGAAGTTGATTGAAAGATTCTGTTACTTGATAATGAGTTTTTCGTCGTGATTTTTAATCTCCTCATACCTGTGAGTTACAATAATTTCATCGCACTGTAAGCATACAATAAATTTAAATAACACTGAGTTTGTGACTCAAAAATCATTTACGAACTCGCGCTTTTTTGCATATATTAGTTTAATATTTGATCAACTTTGTAATTTATAATTTGTTCATAAGTGTATATGTTTCTTCTTCATGACTCTGATGATATTGCTAATTTTTATTTAATAATAATACTTACTTTCTTAAACCAGTTGAAATATTTTGGACTTGCTTTAACTTCTGTAAAGCTATTGATTTATTGAAATATTGAAAAGAGGAATAATGCACAAGGTAATTAATCAAAAAATATACGTGGAAGTCAAGTGATAAAGCATACCTGAAATCGAGAATATTTTCACGACATTCATTTATGGTAGTTTATGTTGGTAACGTGCAAATTCACATGTATAGAAGCTAAGACACTAATCAAGTAAGAGTTGGAACATTTAGTGCTTAGAATAAGCTGAAACATATGGTCATGTTAAGAATTCGTAGAGTGTAATACGTGTTTCCAAATTGACATGCTTCGCATAAAATTCAGAAGACTATAAATGTAGTTGAGAGGAATCTGAGGAGGGTTACCATAGCAAAAGTTGAGCAAGTGTCGTCAACAGCGAATATGAAATTCGTTTGTTCTTTTTCTGTTTACTGCGGTGTCATATTCGTTTGCAGACGAAACTCGAGCGACAGTTGGAAGCTAATTTGGTTTTGCAAAAATGCTCAGGCAGAAATCATGTGACAGGAGTAGCTAAATTTTTGTTAGAAATACAGAATTCAGTATAGTAGTTTGAAGGGTTGTTCCTTCGATACAAGCTAGTTGCTGCATAAAGAAAAGGTAGTATTATAATAATCACTTCATTCTGTAATATGGGTTATAATTTTTCCAGATTAAAGAAAATCTAAAAATATGCAACAGAATTTCACTACCAATGAAAATTGAGCTTAGACGAAATGATATATTTCCTCAGAACTGAACCTGAACTATATTCATTTACATTTTATGTACTATTCTAGATTAAACTCATCCATGATAATATTTGTTCAAGAAATAAAAGGTATATGAAATTCCCAAATTAGTTGATCTATTCACTTGATCTAACTACTTTGTGTACTTTGAGACATGTGCACTACAGAAAAACAAATTTTTGTGAGCCTCAGAGCAGTGAGATATGGATTGAATGGTCTTTCCACGAAATTTGTTCAATGTTTCTGACATATATCGCACTACATTTCAGAACAAGAAAGGAATATAAAACAAACACATGAAAGCATTTTAACTGTCCACTGCATAAACTTTTTTCAATTCTCATTTATTTTTATTTTCCAAAAGCGGAGATCGAAATCAAGATGACGGATCATATTACTTTTCAAGAGAAATAAATGCAAGTGTAATTTTTCCAACCTCTAAAATTCGCAACTTTTTGATGATATTATCTTGGCTACTTCCATCAGTTGCAGCTATCATAATCCTTCCTTTTATTTTCATACTAAATCCTTTCTTTGTTTTCACACTCAATTTGAAAAGCCAAAAATTTTATTTTTTGCATTTGAAAAATTAAAGAACTGAAATAAAAATCTACATTTTTCGGTTTCTAAAAAAAATAGACTTCTACTTCAGTTCATTCATACATAGACTTCAGAATGTAGCAAATTCCTACAGTAAATTGAACTTTTTTGCATGCTTTCACGACTACGCTTCTTCAAAGGTAGGAACTTGATTATGTAAATGTTTCAAGTCTTCACAACTTTGACCCTTAACTCCAATATTTAAATCATTAGTATTGAACGTTAATATTTGTTGTAATGAGTCTATGTTTATTTGATTGCAATGCAGCGTACTTATTCACTGTAGTTGTGTTCTTGAAGTGGAAAACGATTTTTCTGAGGTTTCCTTTTTATATGTGAGTGAATAATAATAATAATAATAATAACTGTCGTGGAAATCGGTTTATTCCTATTGTTTATTGTATACAGTAATCTTCATTTTTATATTTTGATAAAGAATAGATGAAATTACATGAAAAGCGCGGTATTTTTATGAAAGATTAGCGACTAATTCAGTGTACTAGCAAACAGATGAAAACTTTCAAGTTAGGAGATGCTTTTTGTGAAGCAAATTCGCTAGCTGCTTTTTATGCAATTTGCTAGCATTTTTTAATAAAATTATTAGTAACGAAGGTTTCTCAGTAAATTGGCGTAACTTTGACTGACTGTTCAATTTTAAAACAACAAAGTTGCTTGGCCATAAAATTATAAAACTACTGGCTTAAAAAAGCGTCCATTTGATATGCTGTAAGTACTCAAAGAGAGACTGATAAATATCACTTTTACTGAAGTTATTTATTATGCTAAATTGTGGATATATTTTGCAAACACGCATGCTTGCATATTCATTAATAGTAAATAAAACTTAGCTGTCAGTTTGTTGCTTTCAAATTAGCTCTGAAGTGACTTTTGCTTCAATAATAGAACAAAAAGCATTACCAAAAAGAGTGTATGAAAAGTATAGCAAATTCATCATCCAATCCTTCCTTCCCCACCTCTTCCAACAGACAATGACAAGTAATCTACGAATAATAATCACCAATGACAACGACAAGGACAGTCATAACAAGCAACAACTATTGTACTGCTGAAAATATTTGCATAAAATGAATGCAGTAATATTAGCTCACTTGTCTCAATCACCACAGTAGCACTCTATCATTCAGATGTCCATACTTGTCTTATTACTTACATCAATCTACCTCATTCCAAATACGCACAATCAATCAGCTGCAGAACATATAGGACTGACTGCTGATCAGTTCACCACAATGTATGCATCACCAGAAAAAGAAGAGGTGCTGTCTGCATTTAATGAATGTTATGAGTGCTTTCAGCTCTGTTCCATTTTGCTTCTTTTGATTACCGACTAATTGTGCAATTCGGCATACATAACACATACACATATAAACGCACACGCACACGCACCCGCACATGTACATGTACATGCACATGCACGCACCACGCGCACACCACAGACACACACGAGACTGAGCACAGATCAATGAGATATTTGTGGAGTGGCTACTGCTTGCAAGTTGTATCAGACCAGCTTTCAGTAGCCTCATAACTACTCATCCAATATTTGTCTGTGGTATATGTGCAAGTGTGTGTATATGTGTACGTGATGTGTGCACGCGTTCGAAAGAAAATGCTGCCTATGACTGTGCAAGGCAGCAACAAAATGGATGAAAAGGATGATATGAAGGGTAAGTGGGCGGGCTCTCCTCCTCAGTTGCCTCAGTTTTAGTTGGAGTACTCGCAGTAGTCAGTCACTCAAATTGCATCGCCTTCAAGTGTGCATGCAAACCTGAGAGATGAAGAAGAAACCGAAAGGCAGGGTGTAAGAGAGAAAGAGTAATGGGTGGGGGTTTAAAAAGGTCAGTAGTGGCGGACGGAGACGTGTAGTGTGTGAGTGATTGCAAGGAAGCGTTTGGTTGGTTCTGAAGTTCTTCATAACTGGTAGAAATGGTACGTTAGTTTTGGCTTCTATGATGCCAAGAATGTAACACATTTGTTGAAAATGTTAATTATGAATTCTTTTGAAATGTCCTCGATAACTGATCGCACATTAATTAACCTTTCCAGATTACTCAACATTAATCTTTTTGCGCTATTATTGCCTCTTCTTTTATTGAATAATACTCACTTTGCAGACTCAAAAAGTCAAAATTCGGAATAGCATTTTCTCAATACCCTAATATAATTTTTACGTGTGAATGAACTTAGTCGAAAGTACCCGAAGTCTTACCATAAATGCTTGTATAGAACGAAAGTATTTGCATTTCAATTTCAGCGTGAAGTAATCTCAATTCACATTGGCCAAGCTGGCGTCCAGATTGGTAACGCCTGTTGGGAGCTGTATTGCCTGGAACATGGCATCCAGGTACAAATTTTTTTAACTCGAATTGCTTACTGATCAGAATTTAGAAAAAGATAACATTAGTTTATTTCCAAATTAAACAATCAATTTCAATCATGTATTTATATGATTAATGTTGAAATTGTCAGCCTGATGGGCAAATGCCATCAGATAAAAGTGTTGGTTGTGGTGATGATTCGTTTACGACATTCTTCTCAGAAACTGGTTCAGGTAGACATGTACCGCGTGCAGTTATGATCGATTTGGAACCAACTGTTATCGGTTCGTTCTTGCATTTCGCGGCAGTATTGCCTGTTATAATCATTTTCTGGAAAAAAAATAAAGTGCAACTGTAGTATGCAAACAGCAGTTCCTGCTATGATCATTATATTATGCAGTTGCATTTTTTTGGACACTATAGATATGATGATTACTATACAAAACCGTGACCTAAAACAATATCTGATAATTTAACTTCTGTTCAATTTTTCTTTTAATTTCACAACTAGGTCATGAATTAGATGAATCATCCAGAATATCAGAGTCAGTTTGGCAATAATTATATCACATTGCCACTCATTGACGGAGAATGAATAATTCAGAAATCTGTCGCATTATTTTTTCTCATTTGCTATTTCCTTCATTTTGCGGACTTTCTCACAAAAATTGCTTTTTATAAGATTATTTTTTCACCACAAAGGAAATTGCATTTATTCCTTCCCAGGAATTTATAGAGTTTACGGATATGAGCAAAGTCATCAGTGTTTCTCGAATTTTTATCCGTCTGTAGAAAGTTAAAGGTTAATAAGTAGGCTATACAGTTTTTGGCATGGTGATAAGTTGTATGAAATTGATTTCTTTTTTCTAATAAGCGGTTGAAATAAAATCTGAGCAGCGTAGTAAGTATTATTATAAAACAACTAATAAAAATGAAAAATTTTTAAAATTTTGGTTGTTTTTACATATTACTCTAGCTCTGCAAGTAACGTTTCGAACTGTTTACCCATCAGACTTAAATAGTAAATCATTATTAACAGTTAATGGGAGGAAAAGTTTCCTTTTTTAAAAGCTTTGCACAGAATGGCAGTGGAAGATGGATGTACTGATTTTATAAGACACGTGTAAAGCGATTAACATTTTGCTGAAAAATTGAGCCACAAATTCGCTATCTGTCTTCTTCTTTTACGAACATGTAAATTTAATAGTGGAATATTTCAATAATTGCTGAGGAACGCCACTTTAAATAATATTTCAGAATCCGTACGAAATACAAAAGTATTGAATTTAAATTAGATTTTTATTTGAATCTGTGTTGCCAGTGAATTATGTATGAATCTCCAACTTTTGCGTCATTGTTGATTATGAGTATCTCAAATTTTATGAATAGATAAGAGATTGATAAAAGACACATTTGTGCGTTAAAATGTGTATTTAGGAAATCTGAATGATTTATCTTGATGGCGTTGATATGTGCTAGTTGATGTTTGATAAATCACTTGATTGAAGAAAAATAAAGATAGTCAATCGAAAATTAAACAGATTATTAGGTTTTTATAAGCTTGAATAAAGTCAGACAACTGATTTTTAGATGAGATCCGTACTGGCACTTATCGTTCACTGTTTCATCCTGAGCAATTAATCACCGGCAAAGAGGATGCCGCAAATAATTATGCACGTGGACATTATACTATTGGAAAAGAAATAATCGATCTTACATTAGATCGAATCCGACGACTGTCTGAAAATTGCACTGGTTTACAAGGTTTAGGAGTGTTTTTTACCATTTTATGAATGCAGATTTTTATCAGTAGTTTTAGTTTAGATGATTCCAATATTCATGTTCTAATTCTCATCTAATTTCAATCAAAAAATTTTACTTATCTAGGCTTCCTTGTTTTCCATTCGTTCGGTGGAGGTACCGGGTCTGGCTTCACTTCTTTACTTATGGAACGTTTGTCGGTTGACTATGGTAAGAAAGCAAAACTGGAATTTAGCGTCTACCCAGCGCCACAGGTAACTGTAATTCATTTGTTACTGGGAAAGATTTTCATACATATGGGAGAAACCTCACCTAATATATTTTCAGGTGTCAACAGCGGTCGTTGAACCTTATAATTCAATCTTGACAACTCATACTACTCTTGAACACTCTGATTGTTCTTTCATGGTCGATAATGAAGCCATCTATGATATCTGTCGCAGGTAGAATAACTGGGAGAAATAATTGAAAATTCACTGTTGGCTATCTCTTTTCTAATAAGTAAATGAGAAATAAAATACGACCGAAATTTGGTATGAATTTGTCGATCTATTGTTATAGAAATCTTGATATCGAGCGCCCCTCATACACCAATTTAAACCGTCTGATTGGACAAATTGTTTCATCAATAACTGCTTCATTGCGTTTCGATGGCGCTTTAAATGTTGATTTAACTGAGTTCCAGGTTCGTTTCAAGTTCATCTATACAAATATTTTTCATTCTGTTTATTTGTTTCTGGTGTTCAAAATATGTGCTGGGAAGATTTATCAGATTTTTTCAGATTCATTCATACTATGCATTTTGCTGCTATTCTCTGTTTCTGTGATGGTTATATCAAGATAAATAATAAATTTTGTTGCAGACAAATCTGGTTCCTTATCCTCGCATCCATTTTCCTCTCGCGACATTCGCTCCAGTAATTTCTGCTGAAAAAGCGTATCATGAACAATTGTCTGTATCAGAAATTACCAATATGTGTTTTGAACCACATAATCAGATGGTGAAGGTATGAGATCTTAATAGCATAAAGTAGTTGCTTGAAATATATCAGACATATAGCAATGTTTAGTAAGTGAGAAAAAATTCAATTGAATTATCATCATGGAAAGATTGGAATGTTTAACGATCAAAGAAATTAATGATACAAGCAGTCAGTTAATTCTGTAGTGTGACCCGCGACATGGCAAGTATATGGCCGTTTGTTTACTGTTTCGCGGTGATGTGGTACCGAAAGATGTGAATGCAGCTATAGCAACAATCAAAACAAAACGTAGCATACAGTTTGTTGATTGGTGTCCAACTGGTTTCAAAGTTGGGATCAATTATCAACCTCCTACTGTTGTTCCTGGTGGTGATTTAGCAAAGGTGAGATATGGTTTTTTTTTCCTGGTTTATTTATATATTTAATTCCATAAGCCAGTGGTGTTTATTGATAGATTTACTATTTATTTATAAGTAATTGAGTATTCCTGCCGTATATTTTTATAGCGCCGTAGTGTGTTTTGACGTGTTATACAAAATTTTAATAGTGTTTTGGGCAGTCTTTTCCAAGGGTGCATTTCTTGTTTTTTATTGTTTTTTACCGTTTGTACTTAACACGCATTTTTATAAACACAAATAAATCGTTCGGCCAATGACGTTAACTGTAGTTTGGCATTAGTTTTGTAGGTTTTTGAGCTGCTAATGCACAAGGACATTCTGAATCGCAGGTCTTACGTGATATATGTTTATAATTATACTTCCTTATTGATTCTCAAATTTTCCAATAATAGAGATCGGTTTTAAGGTCCCAAGAGCTGTATGTATGCTATCAAATACAACAGCGATAGCAGAAGCATGGGCCAGACTGGACCATAAGTTCGATCTTATGTACGCCAAGAGAGCCTTTGTTCACTGGTATGTTGGTGAAGGTATGGAGGAGGGTGAATTTTCTGAAGCTCGTGAGGACCTTGCAGCGCTAGAAAAGGATTACGAAGAGGTGAGTATTATTGAATCATGTCTAGAATTTGGTAAATAATGTTAGAAAATTATACTTCTGAGTTGAAAGCAAATGGTATACGTGGTCAGCGTGGCATCTCTGCAAATTTGTTGTTTTCACATGTAAAATTCAAAACTCAGCATGAATCGTAAACGATTACAGTAAAAATTTCTACGTGCTGTCGAATTTGCAGGTTGGTATAGATTCTATAGATGATACTGGTGAAGATGGTGATGAATACTGAGTCTTTTATGTGAGGGACTGTTTTATCTCAACTGCCAGAAATCTCATACGCAAGTTGTTCTGCAAACTACAGCTCATGTTAATGCTGTTGCCTACTTGATCTCTCCTGAAAATCTAAGCAGTCTCTCATTGCTTTCATGATATTCATTGCTTTCTTATTTCATTACATTCCCTTTTTTGTATGTTGCCCCTCTCCATAAGGGATTGAAACGTCATGAATTTATATGTTCACAAAAATATCATCACTTCTGAATGTGGAAATTTCTATCGGTTGAAATTAATTGCGCTACACTCTTATTAATATTAGTTGTTAGAAAGGGTATTCGTTATTGATTATTAAGAAGGAAGCAAAGACATAACTAGTGTCGGAGCCAAATTTTTTTTCTCGAAATTGGTATGATACTTTTAACCTTCATATCGAAAAAATATGAGAGATATAAGAAAGAGATAACGATCAATGTGAAACATTTTTGTGAGGGGAGGGAGAGGGGGAGCATATATTTAAACTCTGCGGCATATAAAGAGCTATTAGTTTATTAGGTTCGTTGCTTTTAACATATAAGTTATATCTTCTGCTGTCAATTCTTCTCCTGCTTTAACAATTCTTGAAATGTGTTTCGTAATGATAAATTGTCATAACATAGTAATGTATAATTCAGTCAAAGGATTCGGCGTTAGATTGTAGAAAGATGTAGTAAAGTTGCGGAAGGAGATCGGTACTGGTCTTATTGTCGATGCATGTTCAGGAATGTTATAAGTTTATAGGGCGAAGGGATTTGGGTTAATGATTAACTCTGATTCTAGTTTCTAGTAAATCCTTTGCAAAGCTATAGCTATTTTCTCAACTGGGTCGAAATGAGTGACCTGGTCTTCAACTCTCGCCCGGAATCGTGCTGTTTTAATTGTAGAAGAATTTAGCTTGAATTGATTAGTAAAAATTTCTCTATGAGGAGCAGAGTTTCAGAGTGAAAACAAATTGATTTAGACGCGACCACATCGCAAAATTTTCAGCCCTCTAGTTAATCGTTTGTAGATAAGTCTTACAACTGTCGTCAGCAATTGTATTAGCTTAATAGCGGAGTTTTTGAAACATCTAGTTAGTATGGGGTTCATTCATATCAGTCAAGAAATCAGTAAGGACAGTGGTCGATAAAAGTATCAGCTTTCTAAGCAAGCATATCTATATCAGCTTTCTGAGCAAACAGATGCATTCACATTTGTTCAGCCAACCAAATAGCTCCCTTGCATCCGCCCTGTATCAGCCATTTTATAGTATCGTATTTTGGAGCCTGAAACAAAGTTTTTCAGGAGCAGTATGTGCTTCAAAGCAGTTTTATTTTTCAAATTACTCGTTTAAAACTGAAATAAGGTATTGAGGAAACTGGAAATCATTACTTTACTGAATACTGCTACTAATAATTTGTTAAGTAAATAAAATGTCGACCTTAAGCCCTTCATTTTCAACTCCAATATCATAGTGATGCATCTCGTCATCACGAAGTTTCGTTAATATCTAAAAAATAGTAGTGTACATTTCAAAATTTGAAATGTAAGTAATAAAAAAAAGATTTACTGAATCTTTACAAGCGCAGAATTAAATAAAATGCTATCGTGTGAGTTAAGAGAGCAAGAATTTCAACAATTGCTGTAGAATCATCCATAAGCTAAATGCAGATGATTCTGAGAGGTAGTTGATTGATGCAGAAATATTGCAACTGCAATATCATAAACCTTAAGAAGATCAGCATGTTCTACGGGGTCATCTTCAAGTAATAACATCAGCTGTTGATTGTAATGCTCAGCAATCAATTCTTCCACAGCTGTCGTACAAGCCATTGCTGTTTTTTTACCGCAAAGAGCAGTCCCTGCACCTATAAAAAATTTATGAAACGGCATATTTTTCATTCTGAAATGAGGCAAATCAGAAATGTGCTCTTTTCTGTAAGACAAGTACTTTGCCCATCGCATTACTGCTTAAATTTGATTAAATGGGGGACAAGTCAGGAAATACGCCGCAGATCCCTCCCTTGATCCTGATAATAGTAATAATCAGTACTGCGATAAAATAATCACAATGATGTTAAGTAATAAACAGTAAGCAACTTCAATACTCAGCGATAACAAATAGCAAATTCATATCAAAACAGCAAGTGTAAAAATGTGTGTCTCCCTCTCTCTCATTAAGTGATGTCTCTCTCATTCATTGAAATGTAGCTACTCCTTGCTTTTTGCAAATAATTTGCATGCAAGCAATTAAAACTGTTTTTACGTTGTTTGAGAGAGTAGGACTGACTGTCAGTGAATGGAAGAGAGCGCAGCATCTACTCATTTGCATTTTTATTTTTAATCTTAATCTAAAGTCAGTCCAGCGTATGCAAGACATGCACACGCAATGCAGTCGGTGCTTAGCTGTGTCTTCCAGATGCCTGACAATGGTTGCTTTCGTTGTCTTCCCAAAAAGATGCAAGCATTTAACAATATGGATCTGAAAACGAGAAAATAAACGCGAAGTTTAGCGAACAGACATCCACCCATCGAATTAATTATGGAGTGTAGAACAGAATTCATCTTATTAACACTACCGCGCTGTACTCATGCCTTTGTGAGGAGTTTGCAATGGAAGAAAATAGTACAGTGCTATAAACACACAATAATGTGATGAATACACAAATGTTGCAAGTATAAATCTCAACTCTCTGCACATACACATCTTCCTTCTTATGTACTAATAAGTCGTCCAGATTTGTGCTTTTTTCATTACGAAGTTGAGCTTGTCTTAGCTTATCCTTGCTTGAATATGTTTCTGCTCTGGAGCTAAATCGATGTGCAGACAATAGCCTACGCTTCTTCTTTGTCTAGTCTCATCAGTGAATTACACTAGTGCTAAAAATCGCAGTAGGCCTTTCCAGTACTAGCCTATTTTTAGACTAGGTTTATTCTAATGGACATCGGTCTGTGTATAATGAAAGTTACTCTAACTGAATTTTCTCTACCTACCCAAACATGCTGCTTTTTTTAAATTAAATAAAATTAAAAGTATCCAAAAATAAAATTATGCTAATTATTCGGCTATTATAATTTCAGCTTCTGACTTATCATAACTCATTAACTGCACATGAATTTTAAAAAGAAACAGAATTTCTTTCGTTATTTATTTTGTTTTGTCTTCCTTTTTTCTTTCTTCTATAAGTTAGACGTGTAGATAAAAGTAATCTCATAAATAACTGCTTTCACATTTAAAATTTTACAAAACTTCCAGTATAAAAATTTATTTAAAGAGGGAAAATATAAAAACTTTACCATTGAAAATCCTTAAGGATTCTTTCTATAAAGTTCTTTAATATATTAACAAAAGAGAATAAGTGTAAATTCTCAAAGTACTGACCACAATTTATTTCGATTAAAAGCGGTACTTGAACTACACAAGTTAGGAAGCTACTGCTTCAAGGAATTCAAAATTCATACCGATAAACAATTATATACAATTTCAATTCCGGATGTGATCAAAACAAGAACCAATAAAATATAGAATAAAATCAACCTAAAACGTAAGCAGCAAGGCTCAACCATGGACTCCAAACTGTAGGTTGTACATTATGCTTAGCACATAACCGTTCCATTAAATCCAAATGCTCTTTTTCTTGAGCACGTAAATTTCCAATTATTGCTTTGTTTGAGTCCTCACCTATGACACAGTTTAATAAACATTTCCGTTGTTTTTGAAAATAAATTTTGATCCGACCAACAGTGGGTAATAAAATGATCAAAAACAAAACAGTTAAAATATAAAATGATGACCATATTTAATTTTTCTACAATTACATATTAAAAAGTACTGGGACAAAAACATGCTTGAAGATTTTTCACGGTAAAATTGTTAGCATACCTACTGAAACTAGAGATTAAACTGAGTTTACGGTACCTCATAAATCCATTTAAAAAGTTAAAAGTATTATGCATTATACTTGTACCACGTAAATCTTATATGACCGTAAAAATAAATACTAGAGAAAGTTACCAAATAACACAGCTTTCTGACCATCATAAATACGAACCGCGGCTAATTCGCCAATATGGTCAACACGCAAAACTTTCGTCAGTAATTCTTGCTTACTTAGTGTATGCGCAAAACGTGACGTAACTTTAAGCATTCACCTAAATTACCAATTAATCATAAAATATTTCAGTCCACATTCACGAACAAATATTTTGAACTTGTGATCTGTGATGATGAAAAGAAATATTTACATCTAAATATTTGAAGATTTTTTTTCTCTCTATATCATAATCTTATCCAAGTCATCTTCAGATATTAAAATACATAACTTATCTTAAGAGTGCTTTTCTAGCTCCACTATCAAATCTTCATAAATATCACTTTATGAAACACACTTCATAATTCCAAATTATCTATACATATTTATTTGTTGCTTTTTATCACAAAAACAAAATTTGTTGTGCACAGTATTCATATCGCATTTTCATAAAAAAGTGAGTAAGATGACTAAAACAGCCATATAATGAAAACTTTGGAAAAAGACAAAAAAATTTTTGTCACATAATAAACATGTGGCAATAATCCGTTAAAAAAATTACCGACATATCTTCATAAATCCAAACCAATCTAATCAACAAAAAGTTAGCTAAAATTAATTCATTTACTAGTGAATGCTAAATTTGAATGATGAATAGTTTATTAGATTATGACGTGAATCAGTTGTAAACCTTTTCATCCACAAAATTTCATTTCTAATATTTTTTTTGGCTACGTTTCTGTTCTTACTATATACTAACTTGTAAACAAAGAATTGAAAGAAAAGAAATTAATACTTTATAATTCTTAATAACAAACATATGCAAATAATATCAAATTAGTAATTTCAATTAAAGAAGGAGTAAGTGGAAAAGAAAGCCCAAATTTTTCGTAACATTATTCAAAACCAATTCGGAGAAAACTAACTATCTAAAATGAATTAAATTAATTAGTGATGTACAAGATGTGAATCATGTGCATGGCCATAATCTCCCCCATGATCATCATTTTCATGCTCATGTCCATGTCCATGAAGATGAGAATGGCAATGCAACTGATTGGACTGCTGCATCGGATTTGAAGAATGTAAATAAGTTTGAGACTGGTATAAATTATGTTGAGCTGAATTAGTATCACGAGTTATTTGCCAACTTGCTGATACATCCTTCACGATCTGTAAATCTCATATCTCATCATAAAATACTATAATATCGATCTCCTTCTTGGTCTTGTAATGTATAATAAATAATTTTTTCCTTCAATAAAAACAATAATGTCAAGTGATACAACGAATTCAGCTGGAAACTTTTATGTTTATATGCAATATATACGAATACAAGTTTAAACAAAAATTTACTTGGACTGTCAGTACAGATACTACAGCAGAAAGCTTTTCTATCACCAGTGCTAGCACTAGCTGTTCGTCAGCATCCCGTCGTACACGAACATCGACGGTACCTGATATCGTTGTAAAGTCCAATTGCCAAAAATGTGCTGACCGTAGTTCTAATACACCATCTATAGTTGAGGCTTCAGAAATACATCTGAATTGAAAAATTTACTGAAATATTAATAATAACGTTGTATTTTTCAAAGATTAAATTTAAGAAATAAAAAAACACTAGAAAAAATTACGATATTTGTAAAGTATAGATATGTTCGTATCTGAAGTAAGCTATTATAAATAGCAAATTGTAGAATTTAAAATAAGCACAAAATAGTTTGGAGAGTTGGTTCTAAAATTACAATTAGTTCACCTGTCTAACTGATTATGAATATGAGGTGGTGTAGTTTGCAGCAAAATTCGACCAGCATACTTCGACAATGGCCACATAGTAATGAAAATGCATAGTGATAGTACCAAAGTAGCAGCCGAGTCAATCCACCACAAGTCTAACACAAAACTAAAATAAGTATTTCGAAAAATTTTTTTATTCTATTTAAAAAAAAAATGTAAGCTCCGTAAATCCAATTTCATCTGGTGAAAACTTTCAAGATGCTGTTCAAAAATAATCTGCAAGCTCACTGAACAATTTCTTACCAGTGAGTAACAACACAAGCAACGGTTGTCAAAAAAGCCAACAATGATAGTGCATTCAGTCTTGGTAACAAAAGCATACTGAGACCGGGTAAAATGTAACAAATTGCATGAGAAATATCAGCAAAATGTTCCTAAAAATCATTTTATTTGAAATATCAATATTGTAAAGGAAACTATGGAGTGACGATACTCCACAGAAAAGTTAAATTTCAAATCAGCTTCTTGAAAAAAAATTATTCGCAAATATTTAAAAACCTTTATTCTTTATTTGGTCGTTTATTCTTCCTAATTTGAAAGTATATGAATTTCTTTCTTAACGAAATAAAATATACTAATTGAAAAGTAATTGTCTAAATTTAGAGAAAATCAAGATAAATGGACGATAACGTGTATATCCAAAGCCTACCTGTAATGAAGAACTATTAGAAGCAGTAAGAACATATTGTATGGGTTGATTTTTGACACCGTAAGCAGCGATTTCTAACGAAACTGAAGCGGCAATTGCACCAAAAATATATAAACCATGTGGATGAAGATGATGATCATTTTCCAGAATGTGCTCTATACTTTCTTTTATCAAAAATACTGCTGCTAAACTAGCTAATACCTAAAACCAGCCTTAAAATATAATGAAATACTAACGTGCAAAATTTAATGAAATACTAATCAAATATAATGTGCATAATTTAGCAAACTGAGCAATTCTCAAGGAAAAAATTTTGTTATGATTGGTAAGCAAAAGAATCAGATTCAATTCTGAATCTATGAGATATAAAATGCAAGTAATTCTATCAACTCTTTGGAAATACAAATTTCAAGTAATATGAACAAGAAGTTTACCGTAGTAGCAAAAACAGCAAGGACAGGTGCTCGAGCAAAACCATAAGTATAACTTGCTGATGGTCTATGCGTCACCGATAACGAAATTACAGTTGATATAAGTGAGAAAAAAGAAAACACCGAAAGCCAAGCAGAAGTTGTCAGTACCAAGGATCTGGTAACTGAAACACAACCAATAAGAAATATCACACACATACCGCACACAAAAGCTCCAAAACATGATTGTCGAACATTTGAATTCGACCATTCTATCGTTATCGAAACCATGCTAAAAAGAACTAGTTAAGAGTAGCTTGAACTCATGAGTCGTAATCACAAAACGTCATTTATCATTACTCTAAGTAATATAAAATTTATATTCACATATACTAAGACTACCTTTCTGTTTGTTGCTGACTCAAGCCCTACTTCCAACTTTTACCGCAAAATTGCATACAACTGGCTCATACTTTGATCAGCACATTCAGTAAGTAATCATAAAATCAAATTTTTTTATTTCTTGATTTCAAAAGCATTACAATAAACTTCGATAAAATTTATCTGATTTTATACATATACACTGACTTTTCTATGCGAAAAAAGAATCAAATAAACCACATTTTATAATTAAATGCAAAACTGCTGCAGAATTCTTCGAAATTTTTTATAATTTTTTTTTCTTTCTTGTTTAAGGAACATAATATGCCAGCAAAGAGCAATTACTAATTTATGATGCTTTATACATCCAAATCATAACTGTCCTTTGGTACTTTATTCAAATCATGGCTATTTCTACAGACACATATTACTACAATTTTTTTTCATTTAAAAATTTTTGATCCACAAAGCGCTACATATTTAAACATTATTTTCATTGACTGAAACATGAAACATATATGGGCAAGAAAAATTATCACTTTTCTATAAACTCATTTCTTTTTAGAGCCTAACAATAAACAATATGAGACACCAATGTCTCATCTGTACGATAAGAGTCTGCAAAAATAGTTCTTTTATAGATAATTCATAAATTATGTTTAAATTAATGATATTGTTATCGGAAGTTATAAACAAATTATTCAAACTGCGAGTCTAAAAATCGTTATTTAGATTTGCCACAGATATATTTAATGATTCATCATCTAGAATATCTTCTGCTCCCAATATATCATTAAAAATATCTGATGATCCGGAGAGTACAGAATCAACTGATACTACACTATTATTATCCGCTACCATTTCGAGCCAATGAGCATTATGCCAGCGAAAACGTTCAACGTCCATTTTTTGAGCCCATTCTTCATTGCGTTCCTGTATCAAAGTTTTGATTCACTAATGCTTTTCCAATCATATATTGAAAATGAACTGAGTTAAACGTTTATAATAAGCAACTTATTCTATGTACCTTATTACAGGGCTATGAAACAAAACATGCAATTCACAGGAAAAGTAGAAATAGTTCATAAAACTATAGCAAAAAATTACCGCGATGATTGAAAGTGCATGATCGCACACAGATCGAATAGGTCCATTTCTATCATGCATAAGATCAATGAGATAAGCACCAATTTGAGTGCTTCCGTCCATCACACTTCCGCTGAGCTCTTCATGTGTTATTATGGCATAAAAAATGTATACCACTTGTATGACCATCTCGTCATCCTCTTGTTGAACTAAAATGAGAAAAAGGATTTGTATCAGTTTTTCTTTGATAAATGATAGCGAAAAAAATATGAATATAAATACTGATTAATCTATCTTACATAATGACAAAAACCTGGCATATGTTTTAAAAACAATTACCTGTTAACAACTCAAGTAATTGATCGGTTAGTGGTATTATTAAACGAGCTGCCTGCAACTGTCGAGCCATTGTCCCACAAAGAATAACAATCTTTAATTAAGAGTATAACAATAATTAGCAATTATTTTTCAGTTGTTCCACATATAACCAATTTTTTCAACCCATATACTATTTTTTAATCAGAACTTCTCGATAATAATTTGACTTCTCAATATTAATTCTACCTGTAATAAATGATCAGTATGGGATCGAGAAAGTATTTGTTTTTTTAGATTATTTTCAATCCATGAAATTAAGGAAATTTGTTCTGCTAAAGCCGCCCAATCAACACTATTTAGTTGATTAGCGATTCCCAGACATTCCAAAGCAAATAAATCAAGCCATTCGCAAACCTTTTCATCGACTACAATTTCAAGTAAACGACTGGCCCATTTCTGTAGACTATCATATGATTAGAAAATTGCTTTGTTGGAAAGTTTGTCATATTTTAGTACATATTCCATATTAGAACATAAAAACCTTGATTCCGAAGGCTATTCAAAATTTTGTTCTTGAAGCAGAATGAATAAATTCAATGCTATCGACTTTGTCATTCCTTTGTAATTTAAATAAAACCTACTCAAAATGAAAATTTTGCCACTAATCAATAAAAATAAATTAGAATAATTCACCGAAAACATTGCCTGTGTTGGACCGCCATGAACAGCAATATTGCGCACAATTTTGAGCAACAATGGATCCTTTTGATCAAGAGCTGTTTCAATGAGAAAATCCAAACCCTGGCCATCAAGACCACAAAGAAGCTGAGCATTGCGCTTTTCGAGAGCGAGATTGATCAAAATTGCTTTTACTATCTCTGAGTTTCTGTGATTCACAAAGTTCTGCATTAGCTGCAATATAAAGGAAATGTTGAGAACAAAATACTTTCCCATAGATTTGCTTATCGAAACACTTAATTGTTGAAAAGTTACAACAAATCGAGAGAACTATTTAGGTTTGCTTCTACATATAATTTTAAAAGGGATAATTATTTGCATATCATAATTGTGATTAGTAAATGTAACTTACATATTTTAAAGCATCAGTATAAGTAATCATAGCCTTGGCTTCATCATTAATGCTCAACTGATAAAGCAATTTCATGGCACATTCATCACCGAAAAAGGTTTTTAAATAAATTTACTTGAAATTAAATAGGCATCAATCACTCAGTTGAGAAAGCTTCATAAATTACAGAATGTTCCTTGACTCATATCACTTAAATGCAATCAAATAACAAACAGTGAAAAAAAATTACCATCAATTAGTGATGCTATATGAGACACAAGACCTATAGAAACCATTTGATCACGAAGTGTTCGTATAAATGATAGATTAAACAATAAACGAACAGCAGTATGCCGCAAACTTTCGTTTTTTATAGGGAATAACGAAGATAAATGTTTTACTACACCACTGTTTATCTTAAAATGCAAATGTTATTCTCTTTCCTAAATAATGAAAACTGTGTTTATTTTACAAAAGAATTTAGAAAACAAGCATACCATATCATTCTTGTTTTCCATATAAACACTTAATTTCAGCAAAAAGTTGGCAGCAGAGAGATGTAACGATAAAAGTGCATTACGATCCTCGATACATTTCGCAAGCATCGGAATAATTTTTCGATTAATCATTTTAACTTCAGCCCTAACATCTTCAGCGAGATTTAACAGTAAATCCAAACAAGCTGAAATAAATTAAAGACAAAAAACCTTTGTTAGCGAAGAGAATGAATTAAAAAGGCCAATTTTTAGAATAATTTCGCAGAAAAAAATTACAAGCAATCAGCTGCTGTTCTTTTTGAATTGCAAGTTTAAGACGACGTGAAACACACCAATCATTACAGCGTGCTTCAACAGCCCATGCTTTCCAGCGCTGTAATTCATATTCAATGATTTGCATCGACAAAGTACCAATCTAAAAACTTAGAATCTTCTAAATATAAATTTAGATTTATATCCATTTACTGCATTTTATTTGCGTTTTACTTCTCAAATAATTTGTAATAAATTGCAAATAGCATTTCCTATTTTCAAATACATAGAATTTCTAAGGAAAGTCAATGATTGCTCAAAGAATTAAAATCACCAAAGTGTACTTTGTGATGCGAAATAATGGGATGAAAATCTGTAAAAATAGAGAGGTTGTAAAATACAGTAACGATATTGATAGCAAGTTCGAAATTTTTTTTCCAATCATCACGTAAAACACGAACAAGAGCACCAAGTAGCACTTCTGAAATTAAATGCAGTAGCTATTATGGTGAGAAAAATTGAACTGGATATTTGCCAGTCAACATATACAAACTGTATAACTAAGAAATTCATGACTATTGACCATTTCCAACGATGTGTTGAAGATTTTCATGATTTTGACTTAGTTGTGCAAATAAAGAAGTTGCTTTTGTTTTCTCTGAGACGTCATTGTAAAGCATTTCAATATATTCCTGAATACATTTTTCAAGTCAAAAAATACTTTTGTGATATCTCAAATCATGAAAGGATGGGAAGTTAAACTAAACATGCATCCCACTTTCTTAATTTTAATATAATTTTGATTAATAATTTTAATACTCAAATACTGATTGCTGTGGTCGTTTTTTTAACCTTCGAATCTTAATTACTGCTACATGCTAAATATCAAATCTAATCAGCAATATATCTGTACAGTTCATCTATAACCCCAATAATCATAATTTGAAAAGCCCACGATATTTTTATAAGTAAAAATGTTTCCATCAACGCGAAAAATATACATCAATATTACTCATATGTGCAGACGATGTTGGTGTCATATTTAAGTCCTCCGTCGCTAACGTAATGACACCTAGAAGAACTCTTAATCAATAAACATTTTAAAATAACTACTTCAATACTATTAAATCAAAAAAATTATCACAAAAAGTTGAAAAACTGAATTCGTAAGATAAAAAAATATTACCTGGACAATGTCGTTTTTGTAAGTAATACAGAACTTGCTCAAGTTCATCAATTCTTTGTTCTGGAATTATTGGACAAACTTTGATAATGTGTTGAGCAAGAGCTAATGTATCAATTCTATCATTCAGTTCTTTTAATTGTATGCTGCAAAATAAAACATTGTAGTTTATTCGACTGAGATATAAAAGGCTCATAAAAATAATTACTAATGATCAACATGATGCAAACTTTATAATTTTAATTATTATATTTGCAAACATTTTTTTGTAAGAATTTGAAGTACTGGTCAAAGATTCCGAACTGTCTAATGCCGCTTCCATTTCACACTTCATTACCACTGCTGGTTCAGAATTATGAGCGTCAAATTCAATATTTACCATTCTCCTGCAATGATTTTCGTCTGCCTATAAGGACCATTTCATTTTTCAGTAATTAATAGGTAAAATGTGCTAACAAATCCTACACGTCCTTACTCTCGTATCTTAGCAAAACAATTTTTTTTTCATATAATACATTTTCAGATTTTTTTACTTATTCATATAAATGGAATAACTTTAATTTCCAGTTACTTTTCAACTTTGTAGCAAACTTCTCATGAAGCAAAAAATAAACCTTTCCTGCACTTGACTATTTTCTCTACTATTTGATTCCATACGTAGAAATGCAGGATGTGAATTTATTTTTTAATGATAACTTATAGACTCTCATAATCCTTCATTGCAGTAGCAATTGCAAACTGAAAGCTAAAACAATCAATATACCGTCACAAAAAATTTCAGTTACATGATACAGATACAAGGAATCCAAGTAATATCTACTAGAAGTAGATATTAAATTCGTTGCTAAGCAACTGCTACTTAATCTGTGATGAACTTTTTTCTATATAGCGACGTTTAATCAAATATTTCTGTTACTTAAAGACGTTCTTACATATATTCCATGCACAATCCACACACCAATAAACTAATTCATGCTGATTGATTTAGCAGTAATCTGCTGGTGCAATAAATTATATTATTAATCAGCATCTATATCACAGCTTCGATTAATTTGCATAAATATGGACGGTAATGTTACTGACATTGACAGCAGCAACGATTTCAATAAAAAATCAATCAGTTTAAAAAAGTAAGTAAACTTTTTTCATTCTCCTGAAGACTAATAAAATTTTAAATGAAAGAAGCTTAACTACTAATTACAAAGTTACAAACGAAGTTTTTTTCTCAAACAGATATGCAAGACCTTATGCAATATTATATTTTTTGCAAGCATAAAATTACAGATTTAATGACTCTGTAAAGAAACATGAAGAATTATTGCGAACAAGTAAAGACGTCTTACACAAATTAAACGAAATTCGACGAAACAAAGCACTTGAAATGAAGAAGTACGAAACAGTGGTACGTATGGATGCACTGAGTGTTAGTGGCTACCTGCAACAACAGCATCTAAAATTGCAAGAATTAATAAGAACTGACGAAAGTTTCAATAAGTATAATGAAGAAAGAATGCAGCAAGCTGCAATTACCATTCAACGATTTGTTAGCTTTTGCACTTCCTTCCTCCACGTGGAATCCTTTAGATCAGTTTTGAAAAAGCTTTATGTGTAATTTTAGAAATGAGAAACCAAGTTACTTCGAGAACTCTTAGACATTTTTGCAGTTCCGAAAAATAATTTACCGAAAGCAAATCCTTCGAACACTTTGCACCTGGAAATGGGTAGCGGTTGAGAAACGAATAAAATATATTGAAATTATAGCAGAACGAATGTCCTCGAACGCTACAGTACCAAGAAGAATTGATCTCTCGATTATAAAAAATAAGGTTAACACATTTATATTTCATAATGACTCGTTAGCATCACAGTGACCAATAAACTTACAATTTCTAAATTCTTACAAAAATAATTTGCACGTGAAGAAGTCCAATACGAGCAAGTACATTCATTCTGCTTTAACTTAAATATATTGTTTTCTCATACACAAATTGGATGAGACAATTTCAATAACTACACGGAACACGGACAAATAATTGGACTTTAGCTAAAATTAAATTACTCTGCTCTTTCGCTCAACAACAAACAAGTCTACGTAAACTTATCGACAAATCACTCTACTTCGCTTCCAAAGCTAATACATTCAGCGATAAAATTAATTTACATCATAAATAACATTCTTGATTCTTTCAGCTTCAGCAGCATAAAAACACGATGTACAAAAACGTGGAAAGGTATGTGCAACGAAATGAACGGCAGCAAAGAATTGAATATGATCTGAAATTACTTAATAGTATGTGGTATTAGAAATTTATGATACCAAGAACTACAGTAATGCTCTCGGAGCAATTGCATCAAAATTAAAGCAACAAATACACGTCACACCTTATGTTCAGTTAATGTACTTATACGATGCCTTACTAAAGTTACTAAAATTTCGGACAAAATTTTACCCATTTCCTGAGTGAAACAGAAATGAAAGTGCTGATAATACTCCCGTATTTCATTCCGAAAGTTTAAGTCCAGAAATACAGCAAATACCCCGACAAATAATAACTTCTATACGATCAATATCTTCAGGTATAACAAGCATAAATTCCTTGATGGAAACCAATTCATACCGCCTTTCTGTTACAAGGTTAAATACCAACCAGCAGGTGAAATACCGAGATTGCTGACGACCTCAGAACTGCTTGCAACTCTTCCACATTTATCATCGAACGAAAAAGATTGATGCATTTGGTGGCTCTTTCATGTCCATTTAAGACTTTTCTTGATAAGTAACACAAGACGATGAAAGAAGTTATTAATTGTAAGTTTATTAACAATAAGAATGTAAAACATCAATAATATCATGCGAATAGAAAATGTTGTTGAGAATAAACTCATGTTGCAATTAAGTAAAATGGAGGCAGCGAGCGACTAATACTTCTTGAAATGTATAATTTTCTAAATAAAATGCGACTAGATTTTTACGTATTGCTATGTCCAATTTCTTGAATCCATTTCTGTGAATCTACAATACCCTACAATTACATAACACATCAGTTGCTAAATAAATCAACTTAATCACCAATTTTATAAAATGCACTAGACACTACAGAGGCGAGGGGTCAGAGATCTTAGTTCAAAATGGGATGCAAGAGTAAAACAAGATCTCCCTCAAAATCAGTGTACGCCGATACGAATTTAATATCACTGAATGATGGAGACTGCAGTGATTCTAGTTTACATAAAGAATTACACACATTGAAGAAAAATACAGAAATTTACAAAAAGGAAAAATTAGAACTAAACAAATACAAATGGATGGTCTAAATATTAAAAATTGCAGAAAAAAAATAGATATAAAAATAACGACACGGACTCAGCTAAATACATATCATAAACGTTTGCAAATTATTAATCAACATTTTAATCTTAATACGACCTATAAGAACATGAAAATGACAATGAGATGCTCTGCAATTATGAAAAAAAAGGACACACGGAAGAATGCTTGGCATGCTTTTGTAATTATTTACAGAAATATCTCATAAAAATTTAGATACGAACTATATATTCGAAGTATGAAAATAAAATTATTTGTCCTATAAATATACGCCCAAATTTTTTGATAACATCAAAAATTTTCATCTCCTGCTTTTGTAACAAACAAAAATGAACCAACAAGCAATAATCACACTTCAAATCGACGTGAAAAATGAAGAAAAGTGTGAAAGACAGAAGTAATATCATTGATTACACCCAAACTGATACAAAAAACAAAAAAGGAACAGTTAACTACATCAACCACTGAGCTCATTTAAGTCGTTCAGCATTCTAATTTTTCAAAATTTAAATTTCGAACTTTTAAAGCCAGAATTTTTCGGAAATAAAACGGGAACGCCTTCTGATATCAGCTCTAATACAAATATCGTAAAACAGTGAAGAATACAAATTTCATTCGTCTGCCTCCAAAAGTGCAGCATATTTATTTTCGGATGAAAATGAAAACGGTTTGGCTTCAACATATCTCGATAAATCCTTCGTCTTCGTCTCTACAGCCTTAAAAAATATATATTTCTGATACAATCGGTAATCAATACAACTAATTGCTATACAAAATATAAAACTGCCACAGAATATTTAGATTTTCTCACGACTCTCATCAGTGCTTAATATTTCGCTAAAGGCGCAAAAAATAGACGCAATACGGTTGATACCTATTTTAAATGCGTGCGCTAAGAAATTTTCGCCTTTATTCACAAGAATATTATATTGCAAGTTGCTTTAGAACAAAAGTGTGAAGGATGCAATTACATAAAGCGTGAGTGTGTGTACCTATGTGTTCAACAAATTCCGTTCACTCCAGAATTTTTTGCTGATATATACAAATCTGGTGGAGACCTGTTTTTTCTTTTCTTTTTTAGAATACGGTTGTTGATCGGAATATTGCCGCCTCATTGCTGTACTGGATGTTTCTGTCGCTGTTATTACGTCATCATATTTCTGTTCGATCAACATTTGTTGCTGGCATCTTTTTTCAGGTTCTTCCGGTCCATTATGTTTTGAGAATTCTACAATGCTTTCATTTTTGCTATCTTTCCTAACTGCAAGACGTTTGTCCATGCTTGACAAGCCTCCAGCACTTGCATTTCCTTTTCCTTTTTTCTGCATTGGCAAACTTTTAGTAGCTAAAAATAATGTGATGCATAAATCATTTACTGCATTAAAACTCTTTGGGATATTACAATCTCACCATGTCGGCGTCGAAAAAATTGAAACTCCAAAAGCTTATAGCTAATACGAATTAACAGCAAAAATACAGCTAAAAATTTACATGGAATATTTTGTAATTTGTTTTGCGAAACCTGTACACGAAAGGAATCTCGAGAGCGAGTGAATGTGCGATTGTAACTGTTTTTCGATCGTCCCGGTGCATATGAAGTGAGTACTTCAGATGCTTCAGTTTGCTATAAAAATAGAAAAGTCATTAAATTGCTGTCGCAGACTCTCTTTAAGAAATTAAACTACTAAAGGACTAAATAAAAATTAATGAAAACTTTGAGTAACTAACATTTGAAGATCGAAAGGAAGTGGTTGAATAAAGAGGTTTTGGTGACGAGATTGAAGATGGCGATGGTGGAGGAGGAGGAATTGTAGCAGCAGACAAAGATTTCTCTATTTCTTCCACGGAACGCTTTTCATTAGCGACAACCTGAGGATGAACTAGACATGTGACTGTTTCATCACTACTTCTTACCAGCTCGGGACACACTTCAATAACATTTTCTTGAATTGGTGGGCACTTTTCCAAATCGTCTAACGGAGGAGTTTCTGATGATATAGAAATGTTCTTCAGCAACGATGTTGAAGATGTTGAAAGAGGAACAGATTGTTCGCTATTCTGAAATTGGAAAACCAATATCATACTATGCAGTTAACAATATTTGAAATCGAAGGTTACAACATACTAATTCTAACCTTTCTCAATCGCTGAGCAGTAGCTTTAAAGGCCTCATCTTCCAGTCGTAAGCGTTCCTCAGCCTGCAAAAATAAGAAGGCAGCTTCACTTACTAATTAATTATTCAATTCAATGCTGATTGTCAATAAGCTGTTTACCTGTTTTTCCTTTTCCGAGGTATCCACAGGTTTTGCAAGACCAAAAATACTTGTTGGTCTAGCAGGTAAATCTTCTTCCTTACTATTAAGAGGTTTAGTACGAGGTTGCAGCCGTAATCTAGGTCTTTCATGTCTTTCAGTACCTTCCGTAGTGCTACTTCGCACACTTTCTGTTCGAATACGTTCGAGGCCCCTGATATAATTACCATTCCACTTTTATCTTAGCTTTGTCCTTACGCCTAATTTTTCATTTTATAAACTTAATTTTTTATTAATTTGAACTGTATAAAATGTGTTTGGGGAGCACATTAGATTAATGGAAAAAACATGATTTCACCTTACACCATTATCATACTCCACCCTTGCACCCTGTTGAGTCAACGTATTTAGATGAACAGGTGGTACTCTTGAGAGCATACCATAAGAATCAAAACTTCGATTCTGAAAATTGAAAAAAAAATAGCATATGAAAAGAGTGCTCTAAAAATGACAAAACAAACGAACAGCGTAGCGAGGATAAAACTGGTTGTTTCCGGGTTTCGAATAACGCATTGATCGATTATCATAATCGTATCTTCGGTAATCTAAAAAACACCTAATTCGACAGACATTACGCACTCGAAAATTTAAAAAACACTGGAAAAAAGTGAAAAAAACATCAAATTCCATATCTATATGATAGAACATCTATAACACTTAAATGCTTTTCAACAGGAACTAAAATCTACCACGATGTGCAAATTGTTGTTGGATAGGAAATCGCTTGGCATGATTACTAGCACTGAATGATGATAGAGATGGTGGGGCACGACGAACAGGAGGTAACGTATTATAGTTTCCTTCATAATGATAATTGTTCTTGGAATGCTCTCGTCCAACTACTTGGTTCACATCACCATATGGTTGTCGTGATGAATAAAAGTAACGCGATATTTTTAATGAACGACCGAGGAACACCTGAAATTTATGAATCAATTTCGAAAAAGATCATGAATGTTAACAATGAAAATTTGTAAATATTAGGGAAAATCTTGTATATTTTTGACCAAAATATTAAAATTAAATTTATCCAAAGTTGTTTATACAATTGCTAGCAATATAGAAGAAGAAGAGAAAATGTACCTTGCCATGCAAATTCAAGGCATCCTCCGCTGCACTTTCAGATGCAAAAGAAATGATGGCAGTACCACGTTTGGAAGGATGACCTTCGAAACGAATATTCACAATCTATGAATCATTTATAAATTTAGAAAAATAACTCTTCTTCAATTTTTTATGTTCCATGACATAAATTAGAAAGTTCTCTAAAAATTTTTTTTATAATTTGAGTCAAAGTAAATCTTGCATGTATGTGATCAAACTAGGGCAATCAAGCACAAACTGCAAGGACAGCCAACTCTCAATCACGATATGTTCATATTAGCAGCGGATTCACAAAGAAATACATTGCCAAGTACTGACAAACGCACTCTATGCTACTGTCCAACGAACATATGGTTTACCACTGCTGTAACGCAAAGTTATTTCTATACAATAAATTTGCTGACTTAGCAGTGGGGTTCTTTTCACCACATATAGTCGTGATCAAACCAGATGCGTTAAATTTGACGATAAACTCTCAAACCACTCTACTATACTCCATACCCCTCCCGCAATATATTAAGCCATCAAGTAAAAAAAAAGGTCCTTATCATCACATTAGAAAGATATGACACTATGACTAAACCATGTTATTTTACGCCTAGAAACTTTTTATCAATTAATCGCATGACAGCTGTCCATAGGCTTCAAAAAAATGGAATGTTAATACTTACATTGTTTCTACCTCCTAATAATGTGCAAAGATCTTTATCAGAGCACTTATAGTTAATATTTGCCACTTTAATCTCGAATAATGGTACTTCCGAAAAATGGACCAAGTCCACATTCCCTGAGTGCGTAGCACGATCTAAACTTCGTTCAGAAGATGGAGGACAGACATGGGTAAGAGGATCTTGATTACAGTTCTCTGGTTGCGCTAGATTCGATACTTGTGCGACTGACAAAGTTTCCTCAACCAAAAAACATATTATAATAGGATTTTTTGAAAAAACATCAAATGTAGTTAAAATTAATTACAGCTCCCTAATACTTTCCAAACAAAATATACACCTCTTGCGAGTAGGACGGTGGAACATCAGCGACAGCGGCATCAGCCCAACTTCCAATACGTTCATGCATATTAAAAATATCAACTAAACTGAAAGTCTTTTGATTCTGCTTCTTTTTCATTTTCTGACATCTGCCTGAAACTGGACCGGAACATGGAGTACCCGCTGGCTGATTGTTGGCAGCAGTAACTTCTGGAATACATTCTGTATCTTCAGATACGACTGGTTTAGCAACTTCAGAAACAATCTTTGGCAAGGAATTATTTTCTGTTTTCTCCGTAATAAAATGTTGCTGGAGATTTTCTCTATCACCACCGTTCACGCGATCTGCTTCAGCAGACATCTTCGAATATAGCGAGAAAGACCTGATTTCTCTAAAAAAATAAGATTTGTTCATGCTTTGATAAAAAAAATGCTAAAGTTCGATCAAAAGCAGATGAAAAGAAACAAATATGACTTTGCGAAAAATAATTAATTGAAAAGTTTGGGGGTCAGTGATGCAATCACCCATTTTTAGAGTACTTAGAATTACTTTAGGATTTAATGATATGAGCACTGGAATTCAATCAAATCAATGATTTAATCTTGTTCTCGAAACTGGAATAATTAGATGTAGTGAAAATTTGGAACATTAGAACAGAGGAATAACTAAAAAAATATGTAAACCAACAATTCACTTAGAAAGTCACATTACATACTTTTAGAATAAATGACCCTCGTACCTTTGAATAACTTTCTACTTTCTGGAACATACTGATATACCAACTATAAATCCTCTATCGTTGTAGCAATATAATTTTCTTTAATAAAATTAAGCAAAGAGAAGAAAATATAGTGCAAATAATTAAACCAAAATAAATATGCTTGAGATCATCCCTATGACTATATACGAAGAATGCTTTTCAAAGACACGAATGTTTGAATAAATGTTGTGTAGAATGATTTTGCCAGACTCAAACAAGATTTGACCTTCAAAATATTTTAATATATGCAAGAATCTATTCCATTCTAGTCGAGATTTCATTTAAGCGCCGCATTCATTATGATTAAGTACAAAATGTGGTGGACAATTCTAAAAAGTTTTTCTCCAAAATCGTTGTTGCAAAGTAAGAAATTAAGACGAAGCTTTAATGTGCAGTAACTCTGAGTCGGCAAAATGAGAATACTCAAATCAGATCAGAGTGATTTAAAAGGCGTCAATATTCATTAAAGAATAAGTACAGATGAAAATGGTAAAAAATCTGCACAGTTGTTTACACATATGACAAAATGCATGTAATAAGAATGAAAGGATACGTATTCAATCAATCCTAAAACCCAAAGAGACGAAAAATGCTCTGAGATGGATGAACATTTGCAAACAAGTTGGCAACTATCTCCGTCATGCAACACTTCTGGAATTTCAAAAATCTGGGTATTTTTGGTTGCTTAATTTTTTTAATCACTGGTATCTTGCACGACTTGCTGTCCTTGTTTTCTACAACATACTTCTGATCCGTGTTCTTTACTGCTCACGAAGTAAAAAACGGCGAACGACAGGAACAAAAAATGCTTTTAAGGATGGCTAATGTTCTCAGAACACCCTACTTTCGTTAATTAAAATTTATACTCGTTCCAATTCCATATAGTAGCATAATACTGAAAAAATTCTTAAAATTTGATCTGAGAGTCTTTCAGTCATTTTCCTTCAATGGCAAGCATGTTTTGCGGAAATACAGTAAATATGCTCTTGACAATAAACATATAGAAATAAACTGAAAGTAATAACTGGAAAACGGCTGAGTACTGAAAAGTGTGATCAGATCAAGATGATTCAGCATAGTAGCTTTGCTTAATACTGCATACTAACTGGCAACGAAACGCCAAAATTAGGATTGTGTGATTGATAGACGCAGTACAAGGGGGGATAATAATGAAATAAAGTCATTTTAGGGGGAAAAATATTCAAAGAGAATAAAAAATAAGTTTAATCTTGAATAACAGCCCTCTTCCGAGACTGATTATAGACCGTCCTTTACCAGTTACTGACTAATTAACATGTCGTTCATTACTAAGCGACTGTTCATGGCTGCAACACGTATTATACATTACTACAATGACTCACCTGGCATTCGGTCGACAGCACTGTCATCCATCCTAACGAATGATGTAGACAAATAAATTAAGTTACTGAAACAACATAAGGCAAGCATGAAAGAAAAAAAGTCAGTAATACAAGGCAAAAGAGTGGATTAAGACAAGGATACCACCAACAGATTATAATAGGTATAAGATATGACAGGGACACCACTCATTTATTGATCCAAAACGTAGATAGAACAGATTATGTGAAGGGAAATTATGTACTGCAGCTGAAGGTAATGTGCTACGTAAGAGTAACGATAACTGATCAAGAAATCAAGCTTTCTCTCAACTTCACGCTTTCTTTCATACATTTCTTAACACCATACATTCCATTACGACACGACTCTTGATCATCATAATGCTCATCACTTGCATCCACCAATCTTTCAACAAGAGATAAAAATGCAAATGAAGATTTGTGACACAAATCCTACATATCTATAACTGAAAGCAAAATTAAAACTCAACTGATATCATTGATAGCTTACTACTACTTGTTATCAATAACCTACGATGATAAAAACTATATTTCGAACCTTTACTGATACCTTTCCTATTTTCCAATTCAATTTGATTTGTGGATTGTATAGTTATAAGAAATGCAAATGAGACGGCGGGAATCCCCTTACCTTGCTCATTTACAGAAAATGACGATGCACAAGTTGTCAGCAGTGCCATGAATTTAAGAAGCACCACTGGTACATTTTCTAGAAATCACTCTACACTTACGCTGAAAATGAATATATACTCATCCATAGACGTTTACGTAACATTTTTTGGGACATGCAATGAAAAATCATAGCACAATCAACGCCCTTCCTGCGAAACTTCTACATCAGAAAGTCACCCTAGTAAAATGGATTCTATCTACCACAATTCCATCAAAATCTCATTTAGCACATAGAGACATCGGAACTTATGAAAGAAACACCTACATGATGTGACTTCATATCTCTCATCACTCAAAACAGAACTTAAAGTATCCATAAACAATAGATCAATCGACCTAATCCCAACAAAACATAGAAGACATTATGTGAAGGAAATGGACAAATTACGTCCCCTTGGTATTCTGAAGCCGAACATAATACAAGTACTGTTTCATATGTTGCAAATAAGCACTAGCTCCTAGCCGAATAAGTGATTCTTCATAACGAATAACACTTTATTTCCAACAAAAGATATAATTTCAATTAAAACGATTTTATAAACTTGAACAGCCAACAGTACAATTCACATTGCGACAAGAACAACGAAATTAAGTGTGTTATAATTGAAAGCAAATCTACTGAAACAAAATATTTCGGATGAAAAACTCATAATCAAAAATAGCGACCATTATACTATGCAATAAATCAACATTTGTGCTCAATACATCACTAGATAAAACCATAACTAAAACGGAATCAAAAGACAACCGAAGAAAATCAAGGATGAGTGAAAAAACCCCGAGATCTCACTCCTCTTTTTCTTCTAAGCAGTGTATACTGCGTAAATAAACCTGAAATCTTAGACAAACAATCATGCCGTCAAAATGTGTACAAAAACTCAAACCATCTATTTTAGTTTTCGTCAGAAAAGTCATAAGCAATGGAAGGATTCACCAATGAAATTTTACGCAACGCGACAAAACCTTAAAAAAGCAACTATGAAAGTTATTTGAGGCTGTTCTACAAACCCAAGTTTTCTTTTCCATCAACAACTTTCTCCACTTTCAGCTACTTTCTTTTCATTATCAACTTTGACATCCTGTTCTGTAACGGTTCCAATCTTTCCGCCTTCCACTTTGACGTCATCATCGTCTTCTAGATCTGGCATATCTGGAAATTTATTGATTTTTGTTCAAATGCACCAAAAAAGAGGAGAAAGCAATGCAAGATCGCTTGCATATCTCAAAAAATTTGCTGGGAAATATCCGATCACATCTTGTGAGCACACATTAATATTTATTAAAAACGAAAAATTAAATTCTACCACAAAAATATATTTCAAATCTCACGCGAATGAAGGTAAAAAATATTCCTTACTCGAAAAGCTATAATAAAAAAAGTGTACCGTCAAAACCATCTTTGTCTTCATCGTCCTCATCATCAAAATCATCAAGATTTGGAGCCCCTGAACCACCTGAATCTAGCTTCGACATATAATTTTGGAAATCAAGATCACCACCATTAACATCATCGTCTTCTTCGTCTTCATCTTTCCATTTGTTGAAGTCGATTTTCACCCACGGCAACTGCAATGCATAATCAAAGAAAAAATGCACTACAAAAGCAAATAACAGCCTATAATTGTTTGCGAATTAAATTAATGGACTAAATATGTTGCACGATCCATAAATCAAAACTTATACAACAAAAAGGTAGCAGCAACTAATGTAATCAGCGAGAACTGATTAATAACAATGAGTTCAACTAATCTTGAAGAAAAGTAAATCACAAACCTTGGCACTGCTTTTGGCTAATCGTGGCCACCAATGGGCTACTTCCTTATTGATGACCAATTCCAAGTGCCTATCGTTATTTATTTTCCGGTATTCTTTCTCCACTCCTGCATACAAATCTACTGAAGCTTCATACACTGCTTTGCTACCGCTATGTGTTCCCCTATAATACACGATAAAATTAAATGCAACATTAGCAATGAATCTTAGAAAAACAGTCAATAAAGCATTCACAAGTAGAATCATAATTTAAGTATAAATCCACTGCATTGATCAAATGAACACGTAACCTCAAGAGGAACAAAAATGAGACTTTCCATAACACAAAGAAAAAACACGACACTAACCTTATTTCCAGCGAACAAAATTTTAACTTACTTAACATGAAGAGACTTATCGCCGATCTGAAGTTCTTGCACGTCATCAATCTCAACAGTAAGAAAGAGTAGCTTATCGCTTTGTGCCCATTGAATCAATGGATGTAACGTCGTTACGTCGGTATTAGTTGCCATTTCACTACTGATACCTTTAGTTCAACTTAACGTAATTCGCAAAAACAAGTCGGCAACGAATTCTCTAAGCTGAAATAAATCATGCAGTGAAGTGGTTGGTGAAAATTAAACTGAATAAGTTACATCAGTACTTTAACGCAGAATATCAGAACATCGCAACAATACATTAGCATTGACTACTCAAAAATGAAAAGTACCAAAAGAACAAATACTTCAAGTTCCATAATGTAATATGGAAGACTAAAAATGCATGCTGCAGGATAGAAACACAAAGATTTGCTATTCAAATGAAGGTGAAGTGATAATAATTTCTTGTTCTGACTGCTTCACAAGGAGTTGTGAGTACAATAATTACAGTAATAATCCTTGTCTCAAAGAACAACTTAAACATAAGTCTGGCATCATAATGAAGTACTATACTTGTGAAAGGACTCTCTGAGAGCTATTGGAAACTCCCAGCACCTTCGACCCCTAAAACCAATACAAAAGAATCACTAACCACATAATAGCACAATATATATTGAAGATGTGCGAACCCAAAATAATCTTATTTGCTGTCACTCTGCCAAATTAAAAAAATCTGTTTAAGACCCAAAGATATAACAAAAGCTTAATATCATTGTAATTTGTATGCACTACTTGTCTGAGTAGAACGCATATTCTTTAACTATAGTTTGTGCTCACATGATGTGTCATGAGCGTGTTAATAGATGTTTGAGAATGGACTTTGGTATGCAAGGTCCACATACCATTCAGTTATTCGTCTTCATTAATAATTGGGTCAAAGTGGACAGTGAGTAATTCCTGATATGGATCTTGCAATCAAATATTGAATTTTAATTTTGAAAATAGATTAGTGCGTTTGAAATCATAAGTTTTTCTACCGAGGATAAAATATTTTTGAATGAAACATGACGGAAGAGCAAAACTCAGAAAGAGTCATACACACATCTCCTTAGTGAGTGTCAAGGGAAGTCCAAGTCATACTGGAAGTCCATTACATACGGAATTATTTTCGTCATTCACTTCATCTCTGACCCGAGGTTATTAACGAGTATGTCATACTTTCGCCGTGGATATGGGCGAGTATCTACAAGAACATTAAGTTGTTGGATAAGCATAAGCTCCTTCTCTGCTCAACAGTATGAAGTTCACGTCCTAGCCCGACCCTTGGCATTTACAGTCTCTTCAAACATGCAGGTTGACTATGAGTCCCCTATTTAGTCTTATACTGTCTGATATCGTGGTCTATAAGCTTTTAAGTGTCTTCTGGTTCCAGTTTGAGCACCCCAATTCAATAATTTATTAAATTTATGACGTGCTCATTCATAGCCTTAATTGAAGTCCACGCTATTTAGCGCAGCCTTGACTAATCGTCCATTCTCGCAAAAATCTCTGCTCGAACTTTATCACAGCCTTCTTTTGACATATGATGATACGTACGGACAGATCTCGGTGTTGCCTGTCGATACTTGTAACACCATCATATTTGTTTACTTATACTACTACTCTTCGTTCAAAGTGAAGCAGCATTTAAAAGTCAGAATGAACGGTATCACTTCAATAACGCGAAATCAGATGCTCATGACGTAAAAATGGTCACCCATGACAGTAATTAAAGGCATAAATATAGCAAATCCAAAATATTCCAAAATGACCTTATTTGTGCAATAAAAGAGGAAAATAGAGATAGACCAGTATCAAACTAGTTGTTTATTTCTTTCCGAACTGTTTCTTTGCTTTGAGAATTCATTTCCAAAAGAATCAAGTCAATTCCAAGACTTCTTATAGAATGGAAGTGTTCAAAAACAGGACATGACTTCAGACTCAAGATTTACTGTAATCCACATAGTAACAGTCCGAACACCGGTGAATTTATGTTTTGGATCAGAATTAGTGCTGTGCCATCCACTGAAAGTCTTAAGGGATCCGCAGTCATGAGACTATATGAAAAATGTTTAAGTTGGAAGAAACTTTACCATAGTGCAGTCCAAATACTATTAATGAAATCTTTGTGCCAACGCAAAACCATCAATATCCAATTTATGTAACAAGACTAAACAACTGCAAACACTTTTATGTTGTAGATGTGATAATAGATAACTTGGACATTTCATCATGTAACAGACTTGCTCGGCCAACGATAATATTTCTCTGTGCATTACTGTAGGTGGAGTGTGTTTAAAGATGAAAAAACGTTCGTCCCGAATAAAGTACGAATTTAGGGAGCGGTTATCTTCCTCGAAAGTGACAACAATCTAGAATAGCAGTCAGATGTCCAGGTGGGTTTCACAGAATCCAGGACATGAAACTTACTTACATCTGAATATACAGCGATAAGAATGAAAACTACATTTAGTACTTCTGCCCTAGCAAAAGCATGGTCACGAATATTATAGTGTACAGAAGACCACATGTAAAGATAATCACATCGTCCAACACTGCAATTTAGGGAACAGAAAAAATAAAATTAAGAAACACATCACAGAGGAAAGTTAGCCACTTTTAAACAAAAGTATCGCTACTTGGCCCAAATAGAAATAAATAAAGTGTTTCGTTTCGTGTGTTACATACGATCCGAAATTACGTCCAACAATGCAGTGCCATGTAGGGTTGTATTTCTTGTCAAACTCCTTCTTTATGTATGCTGCTATGTCTTTTTCGATATTGTATCTAAAAGACATCCATGCAAAAATAATACGGAAATCAATTGAGATCACATTTAAAAAGTAGCATCTTATAGATCCAAGGATTATTACCAAGAATATGGGATAAAGAAGTATAAATGACTTTAATTGTGCTGCATATCTGCAAAGTAAATTTGCTGAGTAATTCAAAATTTTCTAAGTCCGAAATCTTGTAAAGACGAATCTTAACTTTATGAAAAATTGGAATAAAAATTTTGATGAGCTAACTTTTCTAAAGCTTGCGTAGCGCAGTCAATAGCATCTTGTTGCATATCTTCAGACATATCAGCATTTTTGATCACCGCTTTCCTGTCCGTCATTTTCTTCTAATTATCAAAATATAAAACGACTTCAATTGGCAGCGAAATGCGAAACCTGCAAGCTGTAATTCATATTTGAAAAATCAATACTCATTGACAACAGTTAAGGAGTGAACATAATATGATGATAACAACTGCAAAACATAACAATCTTCCCAATTTGACGAGTTCAAAGCATAAAATTAACAGATAAACAACCAAATAACCCAATTTTCAATATGTCTTTTCAATCTCAGAAAACTGATGCAATTTCAAGTTTTCACTTCAGAACATTTTATGGTATCATTGCGATAAATAATAATTCAATGCGATGATGTAAAAATAAAGAAGAATCGATCTGTATCTTTTTGCCCGCCAATCGTCCACACTCCGTGGCCACAAACTGTACTTAACATATGTATATTAAAGATAATAATCAATAAAGCAATATGCTCGCAGCACATACAATCCCTATTCAATTTTATTGGCATTTAGTACAGAATTACCTCATCATGCTGACTTAATGCAATCAACTGATCAAATCATCTCTTCTTTCACATCATACTAGTTATTAAATGATAGTTTTTTCGTTCTTACGACCAAATTGTAACTCCTGAATATGGTGTATCGAAGACGAAAATAAAAGGATAACATAAGTTGAAGTAACCAATTTAGTCTTAAGAATGCGATTACTAGAAATAATACTGTTTAAAGCTGTTACGGGAAAAAGACTTGAAACGCATAAAACGGTATACTTTTAAACGTATAAAAACGATGTACTATTAAGTATCTACTTCTTTAACGCTCCAGAACAAAAAATTTGAATAATGCAAAACCTGGCACTACTCGAAGATTCCTACGACCTGTTACAAATAACATAGAATGCTTCAAATTGGAAAATAAGGAGCAATAATATAAAAATTGTTCGAATAGCAAAACATAAATGATCAAATAACAAGCATATTGCAACAGATGAATTTGTTCAAATACTTATGTGACCTGCTCGTTACAGCATGTGATCTGCTCACACAATATCCACGTATATGTAGTAGTAATATGCGACTAACAGTAGTGCAAAATACATAAGTAAGTTCATTCCCGTCATTAGGTAACATGACGTAATACACATGCACACGTTCACTTAACGAAATGCCAACCCTGGCCTTTAGCAGCCGTTGAACTGAGTTATATCTCTGACTGTTGTGTTGGCAACCAATCAGAATTAGACTTGAGTGGCCTCCAGTTCTCCCATAGTGGCATCCCGTGATAGCGGCATCCCAACATATAACACATTGCGAAAGAGAGACAACAGTGGAAAATGCGGTTGTCTGCTTGATTGGTTGGCAGTTTCTTGGGAGAGTAGTGAGTGCATCAATAGAAACACTACTATGTAGAACCTGTCTACCGTTACGTAAATACGTAAGGTTTGCACGTGTGGAAGTCGTTCTATAAAAGCATAAACTCCACGCGAGTTGTTGCGTGAACGCATTAATTCATATTCAGGACATAGATTTGCGTAAATGCAAATACCTTTGTGCTGAATATGAATTGAAGTGAACGCACACACAATTTCAGGAACCCTTCCTTAGTGTAGCAAAGCGTACATTTAAACACATTCCCACATTCCCTTGAACATATCGAAATATGCAGCTTACTGATGAGATAGGCTCCGTGCCTCAGATACTCGCTTTAGTGACGTGAACTGGCAAACACACTGTTAGGGTGTCGCAATGTGCGATAAATAATGGCACTTTTTATTTAGAACTCCTCATAACTGTCAATTATTTGAAATCAATCATAACTTCAATATATTAGTTCTTCCCATCCTCAGTACTATCTTGCGCATTAGCTTCACAAACAATGACAAATCACACTTTTTACTTGGTATATATCAAAATTTGAATATGAATATGAGTTACTATTCTATGATGTTACTCCGGAATTGCTATATAGCAGTCAAGAAGCACTAGATGAGATAAGACAAAGCATTTGCCGAGTTTCAAATTTATCTGCGCAATGTATTACGAGTTCCCAACAAACGTGGAGAAACAGAGCTGTCGAATGGGTATGATTAGCTTTTGCATAATGATTCTGTACATGGCTCTCATTTCTTACATCGGTTGAAAACTCCGTCCTCTGAAACAATTTAGATTTCAAACAAACATTGTGGACTTGCATTTTACCACTTCAATTTTCATTTTAAATACTTATTTCTGAAGCTTGTGAAAAAATTTCGGATTCCTTTCACTAATCTTACAAATAAGAGAAACTGAATATATACGAGAATGTTTTCTTCTCTATACGTCCTTCCGGTCGTGCTCGATTCAAAATCTTCAGGAAGTCATTTGTTTTGGCCCTCATTCTTGAATGCATATATGCCTGAAATTATGGCAGTGACTACGGAATTTGTTGAATTAATTACTTATAAGTCATCAAGATACGCAATCAAATAAATCTTTGTACTCTGGATTATATGGTGTAGCACACTGGAATATCCAGTTGCCGGAAAGTGTTTCTTCAAATATGTTATAGTAAGAAGTTAAGTCTTCACCTTGGAACATTTAATGTGATAATGAAGGTAATCACGGAATGTATGGATTAGATTGATTGTATTTTCCCTCGCCTGTACATTCGTATGTCGTGGAAATAATACTAAAATTCGCATTCAAATGATTTCAAATATATTTTTCAAATATTTTAAATGCATTTCTGATACTGAGTTAATAGAACTCTGCTTACACTTCTTAGCTATAAATTTTCCGTAGAAAAAAAACTATTTATTGACAAAAAGTTCTACATGATAATAGAAAGTATTCCTTGACGAATTAAAAAAATAAATGCAAGAGTTGGAATTTTTTTGAGATTACCAAAAGTAATATATCCAACATTTTCTCCGGTGCGTGCATCTGGACAATCACGTAATTCAAGTGGTGGCTCACCAACTGAATAAAGCACTGCAGGTGATGTCTGCGATGCTTTGCGTCCTTCTCGGAATTCCTCAAATGATAAAATTTCTCTAGTTATTCCTAACAGTAATTAAAATTTCTATTTCTCTGCTACAACTCCTTAAATTTCAATTAAGTTTTTAAGAAAATGAGAAAGCTGTCGAACCTGTAAAAATAATTTCCCGATAACTACATCATCCGGATCACGAAATACTGTGCTGAAAATTACGGTAACTCGGTCCACCTTTGTTTCTATGTACCTAAAAACCTTAATATTTCCCTACACCTGCAGAACAATATGAAGTAAATAATCTTGAACTTCAAAGTATTGGAAAACTTGAGAAATTATGTTGCAAATGCAACGCTCATCCGATTTCCACCATAGATGCGCAACATATTTTTAAGTTTTGTAGTGAGTATTAAAAAATACTAACAATTACTATGGACACAGTGAATTCAATTCTTGTATACGGTGACGAATTAATGAAATGTGAAATTAATGCAATATCTAAAACAAAAAAAAAATCACAAAGTTTCATTTTCTCGATAATGAATTACTGCTCTTTTTGCCCCCGTCTGACCTTGCGATTGAAAATTGAAATACTTCTCAAAGACAGATGCAAAACAATTTCGTTTCAAATGAGAAGCTTGGCTGATGATCTTTGTTGGGTTGTCAGGCAACTCATTCAAATTATAGACCAGTGATACATTATAGCCAGGTTCAGGTTCTGCACATAGATAATTCCCATATTCGCGATGAAGCAACTGAAAATTAGAGGCAGAATAAAGCAGCTAAAACGTGGCACATGTTCACAATTTTTTAAGTGATCAAAATGACGACTAAAGACAGTAAGACCAGATATTAGATGCGTCGTTTTTACACATTCTGAAAATTTCAGAAGGAAAAGCTGAAGCAATATCAAATAAAAAACAATCTGTGGTTCCAAGAATACGTTTGAAAGGAATTAAAAACAGGTTGTAAGAATTTGAAAACCTACTTCATCAGCTCCATGCTCTTGTAATTCCTTGTAAAACTTCAACGAAATACTAAGCTGAAAAAAAAAGTGTTATTTGGTTTTCGTGCTTTCAATTGCAAAAATATGAAATATGGAATCCTTTCTCTCTGTATCTTAGATTTTGAGATATCAAATTCCATTTACAACTGTAAAGACAAACCATTAATTTGGTACGATTACCATCAGGACTTGACACATGGTAAATAACGCCATCAAAATCAGCAAACTTCACATCCACTTTTTCTAATTTACTCCTTCAAAAAAAAGAAATGATAAACAAAAAAAAATCCGATAATTCATTAAACACCACGAAAAACATGAATGTACAAATTTTTACAAAAGTTTTTTAAAATAAAAAACAAAAAGAATAGATTTTTCTCCTGAATAATAAATGACATAAAAATAGCTTTTTGAGTCCTTGCAATTCAAGAATTTTTGAGAGAAAAGATTGTAAACAATACGGATGTGGAGAGCGATGATCAGCAAAATTACTTCACGACAGCAAGTAAATCACACAGTAAAACCATACAAGCAAATGTTTCCAGCAAATAAAATGGATTGCAAGGATACCACAATTTTTTTGAAACAAAATTGCACTGCGTAAGGAGTATGTGCAACAAAAAAGATACAAAACAAGCTGATTTAACAACATTACGTGAACGTGCAAAAAAGTATACGATGAAAGATAGTATTAAAAAGGCAAAAATGAGTAAGTGAAAGTGAAAAACGGTAAATAAGTTTCTAGCACATAATTGAACGTTAAAAAAAATGAATAAAGCAGAGCGAAGAAAGTCTGAACAGGAAATGAGTAAGCCAAGTTAAAACTGATCTGTGACAAAGCCTTACCCTTCTCTGGCTGCTGTAAATTTCAATTCCAAAAGTTCGGTAATGATGCGATTGTTCTGTTCGAGGATAATCATCACCTTACGAGACTAAAAGTTAGGTTATTTTTGTTAAGATCAAACTGTTCATAATCAAAGAAAATAATACGAAGTAAACCAAATATTAAGCATAAACCTGCTAGAGTCATGTCAGAATCAAAAATGTGCTGTAAATGATTCTTAAGCGAGAAATTTAGCAGCTCGTTAAAATCTGTTGCTTCCAAAAGAAATGTATCTCAGAGTGAATATTTCTCGCTTGTTCGAGGATAATTGTTTTTTAAGAAACAATATTTATTTTTAGCGAATCCAAGTAATTGTCGAGTTATCCAATTATGTATACTGCTTCTAGTATTTGTGTAGTACTAATTTATGTCTGTGTTTGTCTTCAAACATACGTTTAAGGCTTTTTTGTAGTGAGTTGTAACTGATTACCTCTCGTTCTGATTAGCTTGCTCTCATTGCGTTCACTTAAATCATTACACGACTGCAAATTGTAGTAATCAAATTCTAGTAATGTGATGGAGTGAGATAAGTATGCACAAATTTTTGTGTGCATTCAAGATAAATGTGCATTGAGGATTCTTTTCTCGCTTCAGTCATCTCACTGTGTCAAAGCAGCTTGCATCCTTCCGTTTCTTTGCAGCCATTTTTTGATTTCTTACTTCATTGTTATTCGCTTTGATTATTCGTATTGCTACATTGTTTTGTGCTAATTTTGGTTGTTCACTTGTTTTTTTCTCCGTTTCATCCGAACTTATTGTTCCCCAGTCACTTCTGCTTCCGTTTTAGCCATTGGTCTTGGAAAATCTCAGTTAAAATGTGTTCCATGTTCTGGCTCTTTTTCAATTAATATGACCGGTCACAGTCAGCACTACTCGTTTGAATTCACTGTTATATCATTAGGTAATGTTGATGCAATTTATTTAATCGATGGAAGAAATTTGATTGCATTGTTTTAGATTCATCAGTGGTTGATTATTACTGATCAAAAGTGATAACAGTTCGGCAACAGCATGAAATTTCTTGTCTTAATTCTTTTAAGTGAAAGTGAAAGGTTATGTAATGGAGCAGCACCCTCGTGATCCCCGTGATAGCACATCGTGTAGTCTTAATCTTATTTTTTCATCATTGCCTTTTATTGAATGATTTGATAGATTTTGATGAAGCGTTATTATTTACTCACATGAAATCGTAATCACAGTGGCAGTTACTCTCAATACAGCAATATTTTGATGGACTATAATCAGATATACTTTTAAATATTTTCATTGATAATTATGATTATTGAATTTGCATTTACGAATTATTTCCAGTAATTGAAAACTTCAGTTCATTGCAGCTGATTAATTATTTGATGAAAATTTACGATCACAAATTAGTGAGTGAATCGATCTCATAAATCGTTGTAAGAATTGAACAGCTGACTACGCAGGTGAACAATAAAAAGATTCATAAATCAACTGTTCTGTTCAATTGATGAGTTGTTCTAGAACATTATATATATATATATACTATAATAACTACCGTATAGTAGTTATACATTTTATTCCACTATTAATTATCAAAAATTGTATTGTAATTTTAACTGAGGAATTTTTTAGTACAGTATTTTTATAATTTCTAAACTATGTTTTTTGTTTTTGAATTTGAATATTTTTATCAGTTCTGTGTTGAATGATATTTGGTAGTTATACATTTTATTCGACGTATACAAACGTGTTTCCGGCATTTTTGTTGTAGGCATTGGTATAAAAGCCGATAGTAATGCTATGATTAACAGTTATTATTTGTAAAGTTATTGAATATGGCCAAATGGGTAGGTTTCATTTTTGAAGTTAAATCGAATGATTATTTTTGACAAAGGTAATCAATCTTTATCAAAATTCAGTCAAGCACTCTGATAATGATATCCATCTGACGTTTTCATTACTGCTCGTACAGTAATGCAGGTAATTATGTGTGAAGCAAAATGTATCACGATAAACGTGTATTTCAATATTATTCAATCAGACTTGGCCTGTTCAGTTTCTATTTTGCTAGCTATTGTAATAATGGAAATAAATATATAAATGGCCTCACAGTGCAGAAAACCAGCAGTTGTCAATCGTGTTCAGATTTTCAGCATTTTAATCATTAAAACCAACAAACAATATACTCATTTTCTTTGGGGAGCTTCCTCAAAAAACTGAATATTTCAGTTTTTACGTTGTGGCTCACGCAAAAATTGTGTTGTTATTCTAACTGAGCAATTTTTTGGTACAGTATTTTTACAATTTTTGAGCTATGTTTTTTGTTTTCGAATTTGAATATTTTATCAGTTCTGTGTTGAATTGGATTTTAGTTCAGTTTAACAATGATATTTAGACTATTAAGAACTCAAAATACTGCAGATGGAATGGTTCTCTTAGGTACTATTTTTTCCTGATGAAAGTTGAAGGTCACCACGTACTGCTCATCTCAATCTCTCTTTTCTATACATCTTTCATTACATATGGTTTACATTCTAGTGTTGCATTCACTACTTGACTCTTTATATCTGATTTAATGCTATATGTTTTGCCTTGTATATGTTTGTTGTTTTGTTTTTGCAGAGCAAAGATTGTACTTAAAATATTTACCTGTGAGTATTTTAACAAATAGCTTTGCATTAAACTTCCTGTGGTCATTTTGCATAGGCCGTCAAAATCGTAGTTTTGTGCTTAATCTATCATTTCATGCAAATTGCGTTGCGCATTATCTTTATTACTTAAAAGGCAAAATTAGTTTTGGATTTTGAGGTATTATCGTGCTATTTAACGTATTTCAAAACACAAAAAATGTCAATCAGTAGTCAGAGTGATATAAGATGGATTGATAATAATTGTCGTTACCATCACCGTCCAAATTTGAATAATCAACCGAGCAAAGTAATGGGAACAAATCATAAAAAGACCTATCGAGATGCTAGTTCTATATATCCACCATTTTGTCGAAAGGTGAGTAATATTTATCCGTCCTGTCATTTCCAATTCATAGATTATAATCCTTAATATATTAGTTAATTATATTCTTTCGGGACATAAATATTTAGAAATGCAAATCACAAAATTCTATGTGTACGGGTTAGCTTCGGAAAATTTGAATTGTTTTTTCTCCATTTCATTTAACAGTATTAGTGAAGTTGAATATTTTAAAAATTCGCAGCTTTTTGCAGAATATTTATTTATGTTAGAGTAATTTTAATGTTGATATAAATTGCACTCCAATGTTTTAGGATTTTTTTTGTTTTCAAAGATATGATATTATTTATTATTTTAGTTAGACTTGAATATACATGATTATGTTCCTGAAGGTGACATTGAATATCCATTTGAAGATATCGACGACATAGGTGATGAAAATAAAATTCGTAGTAATTGGTCTTCGGAGATGGATTATTTTCTTTCAGCTGTTGGTTTTATATTCAATTTGGGAAACTTGTGGAGGTTCTTTTTTTTTTACTTTGTATTCAGAAACTTCTGTCGTGATAACTGGATTTAATGTTAATGTTAACATATAATGAAAATGTTTGCTTGCGATTTGTTACTTTTAGGTTTCCATATTATTGTCGAATAAATGGTGGAGGCTCATTTTGTCTTTGTTATATTATTTTAATGATTTTTGCTGGTGTACCAGTTTTGTTAATGGAACTTACATTAGGCCAATTTCCAAGCGTTGGATGCATATCTGTATGGAAAGTTGTACCATTATTTAAAGGTTTTTTGCTTTTATTCGAAGCAAAATAAGTTTTCTAAAAAGTCATATTCATTTTAAACTGCTTAAATGTTGCACAAAGTCATATTACTGAAATTACAGTATAATATAACACTAATTAAGTTTGTCTCTGGTACCTTACTGTATTTGTTTGTTTTTTTTGACTGATTTTTATAATGTGTGCGTTGAGTTTTTTGAAAGGATCACTTTAGGTATTGGTATTGCAATGTTTATGGTGTCATGCATTGTTAGCATATATTATAGCATTATAGCTGCGTGGGCAGTATCGTATTTTATCAATTCATTAAAGTTTGCATTGCCTTGGGCTACATGCAACAACGATTGGAATTCAATAAGTAAAAAATTTATTGGGTAAATCAAAAATTGTGTCTCTCTGATAGATTAGTCATTTCTTTTTGTAAATTAATTTTCGTATTAGAAAGTATCTTTGCTATTAGTATAATAATTTCAGTTAAAATATCTTCAGAATGCTCAGTATGGAATAAAGATAGTGCTGCGAATTGTTTTCTTCACAATGGTACACTGTTTCGTGATGGATCTTGCCTTGTTGATGCGAATCAAAATTCTACATTCCTTGAAATATCATCGTTTAACTTTGATGAACATATTTTGCCGAGTGCTGAGTATCTGCAGTATGTTTGTTTTTCTAATACTTTTCTTTTATTTTTTTTTGTTTTTTTTATTTATTTTTTGAACCAAATAAAAGCTGTACTACAATAAATATATGTCATCTTATTTGCATCCAGTAATACTTAAAAATGCTTGAGTGCTCTAGAAGCTATATATTCGCCGTTTAATAAGTGCATGATTCTTGATTTGCTAATTATTTCTGGAAATTTTTCTGTTTCACATGAGTAAAATCTTTCCCTCTTGTTATTCCTTTTGCCATTTGTAACAGTCATCATTTCAAGTGAAGAAGTGTTGATGATGTCCAGTGAATTTGATAAAATTAGCCCGATCAATTGGCATCTCGCGCTCTACCTCCTAATTGCATGGTTTATTGTTTTCTTATATGCTTTTAAAGGAGTGAAATCGTCAGGAAAGGTAATAATTTATTTTTCTTTATCGAGAATCTTGCGAAAATGAGACACTACTTGCAAAAACTGATAGTTATGTCTTCAGATTTGAATGCAAAACCAGATATTTATCATTAGTTTTCCACAGTTTTATACTAATAGCCATTCTCGACCAATACAATATATGTTGCTGTTAAAAAATCACGTTATTTTCAGGCTGTTTATGTCATCGTTATTACACCATATATGATCTTACTAGTATTGTTTGTCCGCTTTCTAACGTTACCTGGTTCTTTTTCTGGTCTTGTCCACTTTTTTACACCAGCATGGCAGTTTCTGACTGATTTAACGGTTCATATTTTATAGAACCATTTTATATAATAAAAAATCAAAGTATATATTTACGTAAAATACTGTCCGATTACACTCAAAATATTGTTTCAAAAAATATATATAATTTTTGTCTGTACAGGTGTGGGCAGCAGCAGCTGTACAGGTTTTTCATTCACTACTATGCTGTACAGGTGGATTGATGACTCTCGCTAGCTACAATAAATTTCACAACAATATTTTAAAGTTAGTATTTGAAATAAGGGATTATCAGATTCATCCCGCTAAACTCATTTTATATACAAATTAGGTGTAACAAAATTTCGTAATATTGTCCAGTGACTGGTGTATTAGACTTTTAATTTTCTTGCAATGTAGGCAAGTTGTAATATAAATTTTTGAAGAGATGCGTGGATATTATGCATGGTTGATATTGTCACATCGTTATTTTGTGGAGGTTTAGTATTTGCTGCCGTCGGATTTTTATGTTATGAGTTGGAACTTTCTCTTGAGAAATTCAGCTTTAAAGGTTTTTTTTTCTTGTTAGAAATTCATATTTTTAGTTTTAAATATTTCAGGTTAAAATTTTTGTCAAATGAATGTTTGGTTTTATGATAATTTTAGGAGGGGCGCAACTTTTATTTATATATATGCCTGAAGCTATCGCAAAGTTACCTGTTGCTCCAATTTATTCTGTGATGTACTTTCTAATGATTGTAGCAATAATTTTGACTTCAACTGTAAGCTTTATCATTTTCGCTTATTCAGAGTACGTGGAGTGCTTTTATGTAGAAATCATATTAATTTTGAATAATTATTTTAAAACTGGAAATATCAAGAATGCGTGAGATTCTAGCAGTCGCATTAAAGTACAAAATTGATTCAGAGCATAACAACTGAAACAGTAGTGTCAGCGATTTGTGATGAGTTTCCTGAGCGACTACGTCGTAATCACCGTCATGTTCTAGCGTTTACATGCGTTATATTTTATACATGTGGTATACCTCTCTGTGCCGCAGTGAGTTAACATTTTTCTTCCTTATTTAAATGTGACTTAATAATTCATTTCAGATAAATAAATTGATAATAATTGATATGTGAAATTGTTTGTATGAAGGAATAAAAATGTTTTTTTCAGGCAGGTTTATATTGGTTGCTACTGCTAGACTACTTTACAACGACATGGACTTTAGTTTTGCTAGCATTTCTGGAATGTATGGCTATTTCATGGGCTTATGGTTTGTTGTCGATTTGTTTTTGCAGTTTTCTTTATATTTTTATTTTTATCTCTTTATCTTTTAATGATTCATAGAGGAAAGTTTTTATATACAGGTACATTCTACTTTCAGTTCATGTAGTTAAAATCATGAATTTTTTGTCTGATCAGATTATTATTGATTAATTTTTAAGATTGTAAGGTAGAACTTGTTCATATTTTTTTGTTTCATTCGGTTTAAATTGTGTTTGTTTTCAGGGATTGACAATTTTTTGGATAATATTAAGTGGATGATTGAATTTTATCCTCCACCGTATATCTTTTGGAAAATTTTGTGGAAATTTATCTGTCCTTTTATATTTCTTGTAATTAAAACTTACTAATTTTGTGTGCATTACAAAGACTCGTTATTAAGACAGTTTTAGAAAATTTTCATGAAATTATTTAACAATTCACATAATTCCTCACTGCAAAATTGTCTTAAAAATAACAAACAAACAAACAATTTTTTTAGGCCATACTGTCGTTTGCTTGGTTTGCTTACAAACCTATCGAGTACGAAGAGTATAAATATCCAATATATGCTGAACGTATTGGTTGGAGTATTTCTCTATCCCCCTTTGTCATTGTTCTTTTAACAGCCTCGGTAAAATTCTGTCTAGCAAAGGGATCATTTATTCAACGTTGGTTGAATTTGTTTTGTCCTGATGATGAGTGGGGTCCGGCACTGGCTGTTCATCGTGCTGAATATTATCCACTACAAATTCCTGAAGCTAGACGTCTTATTTTACCTTATAAAAAACAGGTATTTTGAGATTTCAACTTTTTGTAATCTATTTGTTTTGGATGCATCGTTCGTAATTGACAGTTCTGTACGCAGATTTTGGCTTTCCTGGAAATATAAAACCTAGAAGTCTTCATATCTTATTTCGTCCAATTTTTTTTAATTTAGTATTTTATTACAGTTTACAAACGGTTGTGGTGGGTCTTTACGTTCAACTGAAATAGCAGAAAAACGAAAGATTCAAACTGTGTCGACGATAGAAAGTCGTACTGAAAAAAGTAGTCCTTTTTCGCCATTTGAGCGTGAGACTGCCATCTAAGTCTAAAGTTACGTTAAATTAAATAATATTTTTTCCAACTGAAAAAGACATTATGTAGAGACGGAAATTTGTGGGATGTATTGTTCATTTGTGGTTTTGCATAAGGAAATATTTGGAAGGTTTCTGATCAATTTAATTTATCGAAATTACAGAAGATCAGTTTTAATTTTCGTGATATGTTAGCGATACATGTATAAATAGTAATCTTATTTCTGTATATATGTTATTGGCATGCTTACTTTGTTGATAATTTTCATTTCCATTGTTTTTAATAAATTGCTCTGTGTTGGATTTGAGTGTAGAAGGCAGCTGCTGTGTGAATTATACATTTGGTTTGAGCTTTGTACATGTGTAAAGGGGCTTTTGCCAGTACTGCTGTTGCTGTGCCGTATGTAGTATGTATAGCTCCCGCATTCATTCGACACCCTATTTATTTTCTGTAAAGTGATTTTTTAATCACTGACTTGATAAAATGACTTTTTTAATCGCTGACTGTATCAATTAGCATTTTTGATACAGTCAGCTAATTTACGTTTATATTTTCATGTGATATTTTAGAATTAAGCAAACTTTTTCTCCATGTAAGTATTTTGTGGAAATCTTTGCTTACTCGTTTACTGTGTTTATCTTTCTTAATGTTGTTTGTAATGAGAACTTTTTCAAAAGCTCAAAATTTTCAATTTTTATCCAGGTTTTGCTAGCGTTGTAGTATTATTTAAAAAAAAATAATATTTCTTGACACTTATTAAGTAGCAGTGGTTGCAATATTGAAATGGATTTCTTTTTTTACTTTGAATAATAAATTGGTCATCATTAATATTACTACTATTATCATTGTTATTACTAATTATTATTATTAATTGCTATAAATTTTTATTGTGTCTTATCACTGGTAATTTTTTCAGTGTTATGTGCACGAGCAAACCAATGTTTCTTATTATCGCTGAGGGATGAAAGTTTCTCCTTTGCTCATTTTCATTGCTTTTATATTTCATTTCCTTCAGCCTGCATTTTGACTATTTACTTTAGTGTCCAATATTTCTGGGAAAAAACAACTTCGTTTCAGTGAAAGTTCAGTTTGTACAAAGAACTTTGCTTCATCTTGCCTTTGCTCTTGTGGTTTTTCATTGCCAATTTTATGCAAAAGTTTTGTTTTTAGTTTGCATCATTTTACAATTTGTCCAATTTGTTTCATCCCATCTACAAGTAATAGGAACATTTGTGATTGTAAGTGAGGGATTCAAAGAAATCTTGACTTGTTTGCTAATCATGAGAATAGCTCTGAACTTTTAATGTTATCTAGTCTTCTTTGATATATTCATCTTAGCTTGCTTAGATAGTAATGTTTTTACAGCAATTAGATGATCTTGGGGTCCTTGCAAATTTAGTACTAATTTACTTCCTAGTTTTCATTAAAGTCATCATTGTGAAGTAACGGCATTATTACTCATTCATTTACAATTTCGTTTTCTCATAATATATAGCAGCATAATTTTGTAAAAATGTATGATCATCAATTACTCATGTACTGTGAATATTGTAATAAAATATATCACTCAATTTAAGGCTTCAGGATTTGATGTGATGACAGCCTAATCATATAACTTTATACGTTTGGCTAATAAGAAAGGAAAAAAAAATTTTGCTCAGGTGTCGTAAAGTTTATTAGGAAATAAATAATTTGAATAACTTCCACAATAATTCAGACCAGGCGCCAAACTTCGCTGTGTCAGAAGTAGCAGAAACTCCTCACTTCTATTGCTGCGCTCTGACACAGATTATTCGCTTCATGTTCACAAACTATGTATTCTTAGTGATCATTTAGTCAGTAACTTTATAATAAGTAAAAGATAAAAAGTGACATTCAGGCTTAGTCTACTTCGTACAGTTGTAGAAGTTGTATACTTGGCGTGAATTTCTAGTTTTGCTTTGCGAGAGCTTGCGTGTACACCTGCTTATACGCATGTTTTTGCTAAGTGTACAAATGAGATAGGAAAACTGATCTCAGTCTTAGTACGCACCTTATTGCCTTAACATATGAGATTTTTTACTTAAAATTTGATGTTATTCCCTTTAAGCTCTACTATTGCCAATTTTTCGCGCTCAATCCTATTCTACTTTTCGATGTCACTTTTTTAATCAGTCCCAGTTAAAGTATTTTATGACTGCGTTAATTATACAAAAGTTGCAAAGCAGTCTGAACATTGAACTCTGTTCAGTTTATTGTATCATAAAAATGTTTCATGAAAAGCAATCACTACCCATGGTAATGCCGTACATGCAAATATTTTCATTACTTCCAAATCTGTGCTTACAAATTCATAATTTTATTTCGTCCCAAAAAATTAGCTCTCACTATTTTTGTTTCACTTTCTGCAAATGGCATATCAGTGTGAGGAGATACTTTGGTGGAAAACATTTCGTTAATAATCAGGTTTTCCGTAATCATAACTTACGTTTGTTGTCTTACTCCTTGTATTCTACGTTACTGTGTACTTTTTATGTAGAACTAGTGACGGAACTATTTGACAGAAGGATTGAAAATCAAATGCACTGTGGGGAAGCAAAGGCATCATAACTATTACTTACGGTTAGCGGTAACAGCTGTGTCGCCGAGTAGCAGAGATTAGTAAAAGTTGTTAGTTTGTCAGTTTTTTCAGATTCATAGCAATCTCTTTGGTTGTGCTTTTTTATCGAGTTTTAGTTATTTACTGTTGCAGAAGTTTCATTTTCCACATTTTGATGAACATTTTTTACTAAACTCGTAGAGTCGAATGAAGCGTTAAGTGAATTCAGAAAGCTGCTCTTGCTTTGATTTTTGCTTGCTCATGCATTCTCGTGTTACAAGGCTAAAGCATACTTTCTGACTGCTGAAAATGTTATTGTCATTTTGTTTACTCAGTCGATTCGATGCTACGACTTGTTTGCTCACTTGCCACTTCATTTCTATCCTTTTTTTGATAACCTTTTCGAGGTCACATCGTTGCTGTGTTCATTTCAAATTTACAATTTTTGTTATTGGCACAATAAGATGTTGTTAGTTCACTACTTGCATTCGCTAAATTCAAGTCAGTATTAAAATCGTATTGAATTATAAAATTAAAACTGCATATCAAATATTGCCAACAAAATAAGGTATTCAGGGATTTGAGAATCAAATCTATAATATTTATGGGCATTATCACAATTATACATCATTAGTTGCTGCAAATTTTTTATTTTAATTGCACTGACAAAATGATTTAGTCAAAATTTGCATCGGTTTACCACGAAATAAGATAGATGCTTCGGAATAAAACTCAATAATTCAACCAAATTTCAGAACTTGCAGTCATGTCTGATGCCGATAATTCGTTTAATCGGTTGCTTGAAGAATGGTACTCATTGAAAGATGAGTTTGAAAAGATGGAGGTTTGAAATTAGTAATTTCTCTACATTTTTTTCGGATAGTGTATCGAAATATCAGCATGGTGAAGCAAAGTTCAATTTTCATCTACTTCATGCCAGCTAATTAACGATGCTTAGTTCATTTAAATATCAAGTTTTTCAGCATCAGAAAAATTGATAAATATAGGAATTTTCTGTATTTGAAATAAATTATGATTATATTGCAGGACCCTCACTATGTGTATTTGAGCAAATTACACGAAGTATACAAATTACAAGAAGGATGCCAGAAAGCAGTAAAGCATGGCATGTACCGAATATCGAAAATAAAGGATTCCTTGAAAATGTATTTGTTTGAATTGTCTTCAAAATTTATTCAGATACTCTTTAAAGTGTGGTAATTATGGATAAGTTGAAATATATATACCTTAGTAAAGTTTATTTTGCAGTGTGAAAAGCAAAAAAGAAATTAAAAATTTAAAAGATTTGGAGAAAATAGAAGAAGGTGTCGCCGAATGGGAAACAAGATTGCGTGGAATGAAGGGGGAACTGCCTGTGCAGGATAATGGGTATGGGTATGCCGAATACTCTCATTTGCTATTTTAATAACATTAATATCATCAGCGAGGAACATGCTTAAAAAAGATTTTTTTTTTCAGAGATTTTGTGAAATATGTTTGACGAGATTTGGAACGAATCGAATAAAAAATGTATTTCCAGATTATATCTATCCGTTATTCTTGGCAGTAATTTAAACGTTTCGCTGATGAACGAAAATGATCGATATCGCTATAAACAAGAATATGAGAAATTCAAAGTTACAGTAAACTGTGCTTTACTTTTTCTTCTATTTTTGGGTTTTATCTTTACGTCCAGGTTGTTTACTTTTGGTTTTTTTAAAGAAAATATGACACTGCTAAGATTATCTTACAAATTTAATTTACCTTCATTAGAAAAAGTAATTGATTGCAAACATACTATCCTTTATGCTTGCTTTCCTTCGGCTGTGTGATTGAAAAAATACATACTTTATTTTAAGAATTCTCGACTTTATCATTAATTTCGTATTGGTATGGTTTTATTGCACTTTAACAATACGTGAAGCAATATTAAGAATCAACGGATCAAAGTATTTTTATATATTTCCCTTCCTGATTCTCTGTTACATGCATATAGCATTCTTCAAAAATTCATTAATATATTACTTTCATAGAAATCATAGAATTTAAATTTTTTGTGACTGTTTTAGTTTCAGAATATTTTGAAAAACTATTTCTTAAAGAGCTGTGTTTTTTCAAATTCGTTCTATAGTCTCGAACAAATTAAAAATCTGTTCTTATGAATCAAGTTTTCAGGATCAAAGGTTGGTGGATACTTCATCATTATGTTTCATGCGCGCTTAGTGGTATAACAGTGACATGGAGAGATGGTCAATGTTATGGAATTGTCCGAAATCAGTTCATAATATTTCTGTTTTATCTGTCATTTGTGCAGGTTAGTCAATACAGATTTAGTAAATTTTAGTCAATACAGATTTAGTAAAATCACCAGAAATTTAGTAAATTTCTGGTGATTTCGAGGTAGTTAATGGCTTCATTGCAGTCTATTATTATTTTGGAATTTCTTTTTTTTTCAGCTGCTGCAGTTCAGATATCAAACTGGCTGTTTACGACGTTTGCACTCATTGGGACAAAGACATAGTATGGATATAACAGTTGGTATGAAGCTTAGATTTAATAATATTCCAACTTAGATTTAATAATATCACATGTCACTTAAATAATATATTTCAGAAGGGTTCAGCAGTTGGATGTTCAAAGGACTGACTTTTTTGATACCGTTCCTTGTGCTTACTTATATCTTTCAGTTTTATAATTCCTACAAACTGTATTATTTGTCAAAAACAGAGTTCTGTACAAATGAATGGCAGGTAATCTTTTCCAATTCCTTTCATGGATTGACATTCCTAAAGGTCCCTTCATCCTTAATATTGCACAAATATTAAGTATTCGATACACCACTACTGGAGATTTAGAATTTGATCATCTTTCGAGATTGAAACTAGGTTGGATTGGGTTTGATTCACTTTGATGAGTACTTTCAACTTTTTCAAAAAGTTTTTGTTGCAGGTACCAGTCCTTTCATTTGGATTTTTCTTGGTAGCTTGCTGTAATATGTATACGCTGCTTCTTGTCCTTGTAAATAAATGGAAACAAAGTGATAAAATTAAGACATTAATCGCTCTTCAAGCGAAAAATTATTCCAATTTATCTGGCAAAATAGAATAACAAGTCAAAATATAGATGTGTGTTTCAATAATACTTCGACGGTGAAGACGATGTATATTACTTGCGACAGTATCACTTTTGTTGCAACAGCATTATATTTGTTGTATGCTTTCATTCTTTCGCAATGATTGTAGATTTGAGAAATCTGATAAATTCACGAGTGGAATATTCTTGATTTGAGGTTTTGAATTCAAAGACGCATTCATTAGCTCGTCACTTTGTGAGAGAAATATAAACTCTTTTTTTAATCAAAAAAGAGAACAAAGTTCAATTCCTACCTAGTTTCAGAATTTAAAAAAATCAGGATTTCAATGAATGCAAGAAGAAAAAAGTATTCAGATAGTTGAACAGCATTCATTATTTCCTCATATCTGTGTTGTGCTTCGTGAATTTTCAGTCCTTGACCTGATGCTTTTTTTCATTATGTGTTCCTTAATCTGACTAAACTACACATTTATAGCGTTAAGTTACCTTTCCATTATAATGCGTGTCAGTAATGCACTATCGAAAAATAAGCTAACATCAACTACTTCGCGTTAGTCCCTGCGAAGTATTACTTTTGGATGAATTATTGTGAATTTCAAAACATGCATTCTCTTGAAACTTAAAATACCATATATGCTTCAGTATTTTCACACAGTTCCTTCGGTTTTATATGTAACATTTCTTCCATGTTTTCAGTCTACAATTTTGGTTTTTTTCTATTTCTTGAACAATCTGTTTACATAATTGTACAAGCTGATTTACTCGGCATCTACGTGGATATTTCTGAAAGTACGCCAGTTTTATTTTTAGTATACTAACGTCACTTCATATTGTAATACGTTAATCGATGTATTTGCACTAGATAAACATTAAAGGTGGCTTGAAGAGAAGTGATGCAGCTTCTGTTCTTTTGTGAATACAGCGAGTAAACTCCATCATTATCCGCTAGTAATCAAATATTCCATTTTCTACTCTGGTGCTATTTTTTAAATGGTTAGTTATAATTCAAAGGAGTTCCGTGAGAAAGCGACTACGTGCTGGAATTTGGACTTGTATGGCGGTGCTTGCTCACTCATTGCCAGCTGAAACACAAACTGTAAGAAAACTTATTTAATTATTCTTAATTAGAAATAGCTTAGTTTAATTGGAAATGAAAAAATCAAAATAGTTGATTAATTAGTTAGCTCATTATTAACTAAGCTACTTAAACTTCAACTTTCTACTTTATATAGCATTTGTATTTTCTCGAATGAAAAGTGTTCAAATCATTTACACAAAGAAGAAATCAATTGACTCGTGTCAACAATTTTTTATGTGTACACAAATGGTTATTATATTTGTCGCAAGATATTTCAAATTTCAGTTTGCTAAAGTTGCATAGGGAGACGCATACATTATTGTGGGTGGCAGCGTTAAATAGAACCGTTGTGCGTATTTCTGAACGCCTTGTTTATGCATCATTGGTCTTGTCATTAGTATCATTCATGTTGGCGGTAGAGTTTGTCTGCTAGGTGTTGATTTTAATATTATATAGAGATCGAGAGATCAAATTCAGTCTTGTTTTTTTAGTCGTCGCGTAGAATAATTGGTATTGGTCAAGTTCAGCGAACAAAAATCTGGGAGCAGTTATAACCGGCAATTTTTTTCATTACTGTATTAAGTAATTTTATCTCTTTAATTGTTGTATCGAGAGGTTTTTTCTCCACTTACGATATATCAGTATTACTTTACACATTACATGTCTGACGTTTATTACTTTTGTTCTAAGCTAGACAGTGTTTAGAAATGTTTGCATTTTTACAACCATATTCTAACCTTATAAGATAAGCATATGACAGACTTCCTTTGTCTAATCACATTTCATGGTTTCAAAGTAATTTTATCCTTATTCATGATCACGTTATCATTCCAGACATGTTTTCTGTTGAAAGTATTAAAATCATTGATAAAACAAAGCATTCTAATATTGTGCTCCACTCTCTTTCAAATATTCTCTTTAAACTCTTACACTTTTCTCACGCTCTCTGTATTCACGTATAGCGATGATATAAATTGACGCTACTTGTTTTTTATGTACGTTTCACTTTCTGTATAATTTAAACTGAAAACTCAAACTTATTTAGTTCTGTCTAACATAGCATGTATTTGCTGACTGAGATAGAAATACTAATTCTAAAGTTAAATATAAAGAAAACTATTTGCTTTGTATTTGTACAGCAATAATTTTTTGTAAGCAATAAAAATACTTAATGAAGAAAGAATAATTGTCTTCGATAAGTAGGATAATGGTGTCATGTACATTTTTTACTAACTTTATACAGTGAGCAGAAAATTGTATAAAGATAATTGCTTTTTTGTCAAATGTTTATAAGTCATTGCACTGGATATGAAAGTGTGGTCATGGTTATGCAAATTATGAGGAATGCGCAACAATGAGATTTAGGTGTATTGAACTTGATTGATTAAGTAGATCAATTAGGATAGAAGATCAAACTTACTAGATCTACAAAATACGTTTATCTAATGTCTTGCACGAAATAAATGCATCGTATTTGTTTCTTACGAGACGTGCATTCATCGTTAATTAGTCTTACAATATGGTTTTAATATTTATATCAGACATGTACTCTTAGCGCTAAATGTGCAATACTATGAAGGTAACATAAAAGTAATGGTTTGCTGAAGCACATGTTCTAATTCTAAAGCAAGATATTATAAATATTAAGTTTAACCTGTACTATTTTATAGGTAAGATATTTATATGGGATTTAAATGTTGCAGTTCATCACTTTTATGCGATTTTATTCGACCTACTAAATAGTGGTGCTATCATATTCATTGTCTAAAAATCAATTTTAGATTCTATTTGATTTGATAAAACGCTATAATTTTACAAATGACGAGTGAAACAGATTCACAAAATGATCACGCTTGGAAAGAAAATCTCAACTTACCGGCGAAGGATCTAAGATTTAAAACTTCGGTTTGTTTTGATTTTTTTTTGTTTTTTAATTGCTTTAATGGACAGCTTCATATGTAGCCGCACTTTTCAGGACGTAACCGATACAAAAGGAATTGACTTCGAAGATTTTTGTCTGAAACGAGCATTGTTGATGGGAATCTTTGAAAAAGGTTGGGAGAAACCAAGTCCAATACAAGAAGCATCTATTGCTATTGCATTATCAGGTTACAGTTATAAAAGAATCTAGGAATCTTTATTTATCATCAATATGTATGTAAATTAACAGTGAGGCGAGAATAAATATCCAGTAAAGTAAAATAAAGTTCGTTATAGAGAGAGTGTTTTAGTTAATTATGTTTTCGGAAACATGGTTTAAAAAAATTAAGATTATAGGTACTTAATTTTTCAGTGAATATTTTTCAGGCCAAGATATCCTAGCGCGAGCAAAAAACGGAACAGGTAAAACTGGTGCCTACTGCATTCCTTGTATTGAGAAGATTGACGCCAGTGTGAAGTATCCTCAGTCCCTAATTGTTGTTCCTACTAGGGAACTTGCTTTTCAAACTTCCAATATTTGTGTTGATTTAAGCAAGCATATGAATTTAAAGGTTACATTTATACTTTAGTGAACATTTATTTTGTGAGCCAACTATGTTATGTTTTTACTGACGTCAGTAAAAAGATTTCAATCAGTAACGATCTTTTCAAACCAGGAAAATACTGTGTCGTTCAGAAGATTAATATTTGCAATGATTGTCTTTGTTTTCATCGAATTAATGATTTTTCGTAAGTGTTATGGGGGATTCAACAATTTTTTAATTTGGTTTCAAATTAATTTCAGGTGATGGTTACAACGGGAGGTACAGAGCTTCGCAATGATATTATGCGTTTAAACGGTACGGTTCATATAATTGTGGCCACACCTGGTCGCATTCTCGATCTTATGGATAAGGTCTGGCTGTCTAAATTTTTTAGATCGAAAAAGTAGTTAAGAAGTTTTCGAGTATGTTGGTATCTATGCGACTGTTTCAGTAATCTTTTCAAGTACAGTCATGGTACTTTTCTTTTAATTTTTTTGAGATAAAGATATTTTTATTGCACTGAAGGTAATGTAATTGATGTTTCAAGCAGTTGAGATTTTTCCGCAATAAACTTTTCTCTGTTATTTTATTTTACATTTATTTCATGACTTGCAGAATGTTGCTGATATGTCGCATTGTACGACACTGGTATTAGATGAGGCTGACAAACTTCTTTCTCAAGATTTTCAAGGCATTTTGGATCGTGTGATCAAGTTCTTGCCTTCAGATCGCCAGATAATGCTTTATTCTGCTACATTCCCATTGACCGTTGCAACTTTTATGCAAAAACATATGAGGAACCCCTACGAAATTAACTTGATGGAAGAATTGACTCTAGTTGGTGTGACACAGTATTACGCCTATGTTCAGGAGAAGCAGAAAGTGCACTGCTTAAACACGCTGTTTCGCAAGGTTTTTCACGTTTTCATCTTTAAGAATCTATGTATATAATGTTCAATTTATTTAAGTTATTATGTGGGTTGAACTGCTACATTTTAACTTCAAAGCTTTTTAGCCAAAAATTTCTTTTTTTCAATTTTACGGTTATTGTTTGTTAGTTGTCTCATGTGAGACTACGATGTTTTGGATACAGAAACTGTTTGTTTTTTTAGCTTCAAATAAATCAGTCCATCATTTTCTGCAATTCAACACAGCGTGTGGAACTGTTGGCAAAAAAGATAACGGAAATAGGGTATTCTTGTTACTACATTCATTCGAGGATGGCTCAGGGTCATCGCAATCGTGTTTTCCATGATTTTCGTAAAGGAGCTTGCCGTAACTTAGTTTGCTCTGACTTACTTACTAGAGGCATTGATATTCAGGCAGTTAATGTGGTCATCAATTTTGACTTTCCTCGCAATGCCGAAACATATCTACATCGAATTGGCCGGTATTAAGTTTCATTTATTCAAGAGAAAATTAAACACGATATTTTTCTGCTCTCTAGTACTATCTTTATCATCTTTCTTTTTGAAATTGAAAATCATTTTCTATTTAATACATCAGACTACATTCCTTATATTCGTTTGTCAATTCTATGTCAACATTTATTAAGTTGCCTTTTTTTTAGTTCTGGTCGTTTCGGGCACCTTGGTATTGCTATTAATCTCATCACTTATGAAGACCGCTTCACTCTTCGACGTATCGAAGCGGAATTAAGGACTCGAATTGCTCCTATTCCAAAGGTTATTTTTATTATTTATAACGTTCAGTCATTTTCTTACCATTAAGTTTACAATACTGTAATATCTGAAAGCTTCCTATAAAGAAAAGAAGTAACTTTTGTAATTGTGTGTAAGTTAAGAAATGTTGATGTTTTCAGTCGGTGGATCCAAAATTATATGTTGCTGAGTATCAGATTGTTGACGAGAATGGTAGCGAAGGGGTAGGGTCCTCAAAAGGATTAGTTGCATAAACTGTAATTTTTCTAATTTTTCTATGTTATTGTGCTACTGTAGTTTGGTGATTTTTGTTTGTTTGCTTTTTTCCTTTTTTTTCTTTTCTTTTTGCAATGCGTAACAACAATTCTGTGTGGTATTTTTAATACTAGCTTCATGCAGAAAGTGCAATTCTGTATTCTATATAATTAATTATAACATTTTTGGTTTATGACTCTAAGAAAATTTTTTTGTACTAATTATCTCTTATTCTCATTTTATTTTTTTCAGATTTTAGACTACATTGCTGCGTTTCCTCTTTTTTATCTTGATCTCTTGACTTTCGAATTCTAATGATGCTTCATATTGTCAACGCTGTATGTAAGTTTTCAGCCAACTGATTTAGTTTAGTAGCTGTATATAGTTGCTGAGAAAAATAGTAAATAAAGTAGTTATGTGTTAAATAGGATGTTACATATACTGCGTTTACAATATTAAGCTTCTGAATATTGAATATTCGTCTCCAGCTGGAGTGGAACATGTTTTTTACAGTCGAGAAAAGTGCTGATTTCTGTCAGTAATGAGAGATGAGGTTACTCGAGGTCTTTATTCCATCAATATCTAAAGTAATCTGAAAGTAATTTTTGACCCTTGTAACATTATTTGGTATAACTGTCTGAGTTTCAGGTTTATATTTCGTCTAGTAGCAGTATGCTCGTCCTCAGCATGAAGATTGGTAATATGTGCATACAGCTTTGTTTTTTAAATTTTCGTTTCCGTAATGTGTTGTTCGTTTATTTAAACTCTTCGTTCCTTTAATTTGTTACTCAGCTGTGTTTCAAATATATGATTAAGTTTCTGTGGTTATGCGTCGGGTGCTATTTTTGAAGTTAAATAATAGAAGGTTATTGTAATCTTTCAAATCTGGTAAGGATTTTAATATTCATATTTTTGTAATTTTAAGAAAAAATGTTTAGTGGCAGAAAGCCTTTACCTAATGTAGCCTTTTTGATCGCCTCTCTGCAGCTTATTTTAATAACCATCGGAAGACATTCAGCTCTCGGTATTCAGCATTTTCATCTTATCAGTTCTAGAAATTTTTTTTTAGGAATTCCCATTAGTTTTATGCTTGTGATAGTCGCAGTTACTAATTCGACTTCTCTAATAGTAATAGTCGTTCAACATACATTCTGACTTCATCTTAATTCGATGGTTATATATTTATGCTGCGAATGCCGTGAGCCGTTTACCATCCCCGGCTCTTGTCGAATAGTTTTATTAATTATACGGCATTTTGTGTTTTATAGACACATCACATTTCATTGTTGTTGTTTACTTTTTACTTGTTTCATGTTCACTAGCAAGATTATAATTCTATGGTGGATGAGCCGAATTATTTATCGGGAGATAACTTGCTGCACAAAGTGTCATAAGGTTCTTTTTGTGCTTTATTTGCCTGAGTTTTTACCACCGTTAATGTTGATTATCTGAAAACTGAGTTGTAGAAAAGGGTCAAGTTTAAATCTATATGTTTACTGTGCTTGATAGTCTGAGCAATATTATGTAAATTCATAAAACAGATGTTCGGTCTATTGTATTATACTTGTATTATGAGTCGTGACTATTTCATATTCCACGTTTGTCAAAGAGTTCATTTTATTCAAATTGTTTTTATCCAGTCATTTTCTAGACATGCATTTGTTTTCTCCCTCATCCTCAGTTCCCTTTAATTTGTTCAGTATCTCCATTCTACCTTTTACAGCCGTTCCGAAGTCCAATATCGTTCTTCTAATACTGTTTTCAAGATTTTACGATGAACCACCGTTTCTGTGTAATGCGTTTCTGACTCGAAAAGTTTCCAAAAAAAACGTAGCGCGCGCGTTCATTCACGCTTTTTAGGTACGTGTTTGATAGTAACAAATAAATTATGCGCTACAATGTGTTTTACTTTGCCAGTTCGTACACTCGTACAGTTCGTGAGTTCTCATATTGTCAGGGTTCTAGAATACAGTAGTTCGCTGTGCGTGTATCGTAACATTCAAAGTGTTACTGGGAGCTAGTCGATCTGAAGTCTTGTAAGAAGAGCTCGGATAGCAGACTAAACAAGGGTGTGTCACCTCAGGTAATTGTTACGTGGGATCATTTCTTTGATCGGCAATCTAATAGAGCTGCAGGAGTGCATCAGTTCATCTGAGCAACTGTATCTATTCGCAAATTCAGTACAAGTAGATGATCCCGTGGTACGAGATATAAACAAACAATTTGACGACATTGAAGGATGAATTGTTGTGATAATAGGTATACCTAATACGTATGATTCATAAGCCTATATGTCGTTGGAATGAGTCAGCAAATCGTTTCCGAACTTTTGGAAGCAGCTTGATAAGGTCATCTACACACACTGACGTGCATCTGAAATTGACATTTTTTCTTTCAACAGATTGCGCAACATTTTTTCAAGGCTATAAACATTTCGTCAATTAAGATGTAAGATCGAAAATTTGCAAAACGGAAACGAAGATAACTGGTACTTCGAGATTTCTTCCTTGAGTTCTCGATTTTCTACTTGGGAAACTTGTGTGATATCCAAATCATGTTTTTGGCTGGCTTTATCCAAGCATGTCATTGAACAACGATCAAACCGTCCCTCAAAAAAAATTATTTAAACAGTGTTTGGTATAAAAATTATTCTTAGATCATCAACACAGAGAGTGATGTGAAAAATACCCATAAGCTGTCTCTCACCTCAAAACTTTATGTGGTCAAATATAGTCAAAAAATACATGACTCTACAATATTCTCGTACAATCAATAAATCAGGTTTAAAAATCCTTAGCAGTGTGCTACCATAATAATGTAGCCTTGCCTGTAACTGGCCTAATTCTTGTTGCAAAATAGTGTTCAATTTTTTAACAGGTTGATTACAACGTTGCATACAAGTCTCCACAATTTCCCGGCTGTAGTCCTGACTGTAACAGTTTGATATGCAAATAAACATTTGCTGGTGCGCTTTTCGCAGATAGCTAAAATACTTCACTCAAATTATTTTAATGTTGGAAGTAATGAAGTGCAACTTGCTCTCTTCGCAAAAAATGTTTGCTGAGGTAATTAATTAGAGTAATAATTCTATGTACCGAAATTTCCAAAACTGAATTAAGGCATAAAACAGTATCATACAAACGTTTCATACTGTACCAAAAAAAACAAAATTATTAACTGCAAGTCAATGAATTTATTAAATATGTGTCAAAGAGACTAGCAGAATTTCGACTGAGGTAAGTAGAGAGGTCAATGACTTCGCCAAAATTATGTTTTGTTAAATTAGATTAAATATTATATAAGATAAGCAATTTTATGCAAAAATCAAACGATTACAGATTTAAGTATAAGCAAATACTAAATAAGAAATACCACAGAATGATATATTTGACTCCGACTACAAGAAACTCTCACAAAACATTAAGAAATAATCATAATTCAAAACAATATCTGAGTTAGAATAAGAAGAAAAAACTTATGCGAATCACATTCTGCCTAAAAAATTTTATTGACCACATAAACTGTCTGCACGAACTATATATAATATGATCCGGTTAGAGAAGTATTTCGTATGGAAAGTAAATTTACGCACTTTTGGTTGATTTCGTCAATCAAGGCATCGGTCGCTTTTTTCAGTCTTTCAGATAGTTCCATGACAGAAAATAAACACACCTGAATTTCTCACAGAATTTACTGCAACATAAAGCATGAAAATTTTCAAGTTTTGAATTTCAAATAATCTGATAAGCTTGAAAAATTGATACCTTAATATCATACACAACTAAACTGACATCACTACACCACAACTTCTACTTAAATATTAGTTATAATAATAAAATAAATGCCTTAAACGCGAAACTCTATATTCACGGACCGCGAGGTTTGCCGTTAAAATCGCTACTCGCTGTGGTATGTACACATTATGATTTACGAGTATCACTGGTTCCAAAAGTAATTTATAAGACTACTTCGAGGAGGAGAGAGTGAAGTAAATGCAAGGAGTTTATTAAGATCAGATCTTTATTTATTGAAGGTTTTTGAATTGAATGGCAGAAATGCAACAAGTGGAGTCTTCAGGAAAGCAAGGAGATGAGTTCGTTGTCCCGTCACTAAAAGTAAGAGTCGCTAATAAAGATAGGCAAAAGAAATAAAAACAATTGTTTCCAAAAGTATTTCATCTTGAAATATAAGTACGCGTTATGCGTGAATTACATAACAAAGCTGGTCTATTCAATTTTGAATTTTTCTAATTTTGTATGCAGAATTCATTTGCCTTAAATAACAATTTGAACTCTTTTTATAAAGACCAATTCAGAAACAAATGTGGGAGATATTTGAACGCCCTGTCTCTTATCGTATTCTATATTTTTGAACGTTTTTGAGGACAAAGTTGTTGATTTGGAAATTTCTATAAGTGAGCCGAAATTGGAATATATGCAGCCTTCATTCGCTGTTGAGCCGTCGGCCGATGTTGACTACGGTTTGGACGTGATAAAGAGTGGTACAATAATAGATAGAATTTGTTTCAAAAACCGAAAAGCTGACACATTTTTGGTTATCGGTCGTTTGCCATTGTGTGATATACAATTAGAACATCCTACCATTTCAAGGTATTTTTCAATTTTTATCATTACATCTAGTCATTATCATCTTAAAATTAGTTTAGGATTATTGAAATTAAGAAAATATAGTATTCAGTGTTATAAAACGATTCTGTAGTAATTTTATTTGCGATGTTTTTTGTTGCTCTAATGAATAAATTCTAGGTATCATTGTATAATTCAGTACGGTGAGGATTTGATAAATAAAACAGGAAAAGGATGGTTTATATATGATTTGGGTAGTACACATGGTACCAAGTTAAACAAAAAAATGATTCCATCAAAGCAGTATATTCGCATTCGTGTTGGACATGTTTTACAGTTCGGTGGTATGTTTACTCCGTCGTTTAATTCAAATTTTTTTGTTTGTGATTTGAATATTTCAATTCAAAAAAAAACACCCAAAATCAGTTCATCTTCATGACCACGGACGATTTCCTTTTCCATTTTATTAAGAAATCCTTTTTAATTTTCTGACTTCATTTTTAAGGAAGTACTAGAATCATGACTTTGTTTGGCCCAAGTTGTGATACCGAACCAGAATGGAAATATTCGCCAACAGAAATGAGGCAATTAATAAATCAGAAGAAACTTTGTGACAAAATGGAACAAGAAAAACAAAAAGAGTCACAGGATGAAGAAAGTAATGATGGCATCACCTGGGGAATAGGTGAGTTTTATTATAGTGTTATCTATTTCATTCAGTATGGTTTGCAATGTATCTTCAGTTTGTTCATAGTTTAAAGCTTTTATTTCGTCTTGTATTTGATAATTTTTTCTGCCATAGCTAACCGAAAACTAATTCCTAATCAATCTTTTTAATACATTTTTTCGCGATAGTTCTTTCCTTTTTTTAAAAAATTTTTATCTCAGATTTTGATGAAGAAGAAGCGTATGCTCATTCGTGTGAATTAACTAATTTCCAAGACCAAGAAGAAAAATATCGTGACGACCCTTTGAAAGTGCTTTCAAGATTCTTTGAGCAGGAAGGATTTGATATGGAATTCACATATGAAGAAGAAGGATCAGGGCATAATCATAAGTGGACATGCACTATTGAGTAAGTAATATCAGTGTCTCTCTGTTTTTAATGAATCCTATTTTACCACGATTTTACAGATTACCTATAAATACGGCAACAGGTCAGTCCCTTATAGAGTCAGCAACATGTTGTGGAAGCAAGAAAGAATCTCAAGTTTTGTGCGCTTTCAATGCTTGCAAGACTTTAGGTACTGGAAAATTTTCAGACACAAAGATTTAGTTCAGTTTTATTGTAGCCATTTTGTACCATGTAATTTTTTTAATTTCCTCGTATTTGTGTTATTTATACTACAGATAGACATGGTGTTTTGTATCGATCCTTAAATAAAACCAGAAGGAAGGCCAAAAATTTAGCAGAAAACGACTATTATGATTCGGATGAAGATACGTATTTTGACAGAACAGGGCAAATTGAAGAAAATCGCGAGAAAAGACGGTTGCGTGATTTAGTGAGTTATTTTGTTTTGTTTAAGTTTTTTTCTGAAACTAAGCAGTCAAGTTTTTTTCAATTAACTTCTGCAGATATTTTATCTTGTGATATAATCTGTCGAATATGCAAAATTTCAGAAGATGCAAGACCACGTGACTGCAGAAGTAGAAACTTTACAAACTTTAATGAAAAAGATTACCTCAATAGATAAGGAAGTAAGTGAAGTAGAAGCACGTTTAGCTTTATATGAAACGTCAAAAAAAATGAGAAACGATGAAGATGACGAAGATCTTGATAAGTATTGCAAGCGACTAGAGAAGCACTATAATGAAGATAATAATAGCATGTCTGTAGGTTCTTTGCTTTCATAAAATTTAGCTTTCACATACATATTTTTGTTTCAACAAGTTCATTTTTGAAACACTTTATTACTTCACTATCTTAAGTTAAATTGATTATTATTCATACTGTTCTTCTAGTTTGCACTTCATGAATACTCGATGAAATATGTCTATGAAATTAAACCTGTGATTACTTCTTCCTTCAGACGAAAGCTGAAAAATCTCTTTTACGACAGCGCCTTGTTTATCTGAAGCATGAAAAAGAGCGATTAGAAAAATTGGCCAAAATAGCGCAGCCCGTTGAATTACCACCATTGAAAATTCCGTCATCCAATAGTGTAATCGATCATTTTTTCATTATTTTTCTCAGTTTGTTAAATTTTTACACAAAAATTCATTTTTAGATAGTCTCATTGTCGGCTTCAACTATAAAAAAGTTAATGAAAATAAGACGAGACAAGTGTTCAGCTGCTAACAGGAAGGAAAATAGTGACAGTAAAGAGCCGCCATCGGATACATTCATTATAGAATCTGTGGACAGTTCACCATTCATTCCAGAAGTTGAAGATGATGAAAAATCAAGAAAAACTATCTCAGTGGAAGTTATGCTAAATAATGAAACAGACTTTAATGTGAGCAGGAATACTAGTATAAGTAGCATATTTTAATGAATAATTTACACTATATGAATTACTCAATTCTGGTGTGATTGAATGGAAATTTATCTCCTGATATCTCCAATTGATTCTCGTCTTTAGTCAGTGTATTTGTCATTTCCCAATTTAAAAATTGAATTCTTGATTTGACTTGAACGATTAAATTATTAGAATTATTTCGCCATTGATTATTGTTATATAGTTTCCATTTTCGCACTGCAATTAAGAAGTCACTCTGTGTTGTTTTATAGAGAAAACAATCAAAGACATCGGCAGAGGAAGAATGCCCAAAACGGAAACGCATACGAATGCGTAATACGTTCTCAAGACAAGAAAAGGTTCTATAATATTGATGCAAAATTTTTTTTAGCGAAATGCTGATATTGACGACAATAATGGCTAACGCTCATTTGCAGAATCTTGCATTTGTAATATCTTAGAGCCATCGCAAATATTTTTCATTTGATTTTAGAACAGTGGCTATGAAGAAATTACTGATCGAATGGATGAAGATTATATTACATGGATGCCACCTGAAAACCAAAGTGGAGATGGTACTACTTCCCTTAATGCAAAATTTAAAGGGAGGTATTAGTTCTGACTTGTTTGCTACGCTGTTTGTTCTGATTACTAAATTAGTTAAGCAAGTTGATAACAAGAAATATCTCCTGATGAATGAAATTTATTTATATAGGCTATACGTTCTCTAGATTCTGAATTATCTTGGTTGTTTGTTTATGCATATATTGACTTTCAATTTACTGAGCTGAGTGTGGCGCATACTGTATCGAGAACTTCAAAAAACATACCTTTCTAAACAAAAACATGTCTTCGTAAGAGGCTTAACCGAAGGCTGTTTATTTTTGAGATGAGTCATTACTTGATTTGTAGAATTATAAGAGGGTATATGAAGGAAGCACTAAATTTTTATATCAAAATCAATAATACAGCCTCTGAGTTAATGCAAATCGTGTTAAAAGATTGCTGTTTGAGGTATGAAATATTGTGAGCTGGTGTAAATTATTTCTGCGCTCAAAAACTTTTGTTGCTGAGGTCTTGAAAAACATTGAGAACTCGAACCTTCCATATAGTCAGTTTAATATATATGCGAATTGCTTATGCACTTTAAATAAAACAATCACCTCAATTCCGGATAATAAGCAGAAACTAGATCCGCGTATCCTACTAATACCGTATTTACCGTTTCACCTATATCTGTTCTCTCTCTTCATCTCTAATTCAATTATTCATTTTCCGAATTACCAACTCTACCTCAGTGGCTAACCACACCAGTCTTGAGTTCTGAGAGGGAATTAGTCTCATATCAAGAAATTGCCATTTCTATGTCGCTGCTGTTCTCCACAAATATTTCATGGGAATGTTTGAAAGTTATAAAAATTTCAGATTCGAAATCCAGATATTGTTCCGTTTGCCTAGTAATTGTTTGAATATCATGTTTGCAAGATAAAATTTAAGATGAAAGCAAGAGAATGTCTTTCTTGTGCGGATAAGATGTAGTTGTGGCAATCACAGCTTGCAAGTTCCACAATCCGATATTTTTAAGGCAATTTCGAGAATACAATCCAATTATATAGCTTGCTCGGAAAGGTTTTTTAAGGGTTTTGGTTAGTATAGTGTCGGGTGGTGTTTCAAAGGATTCGGGGATTGATTACGAGGAAATGATTTTTGCAACTAAATGGCAAGGTTGAAGTATATGCTGGTACCAGCATATGTGATAGAAAGTAATTCTCTGGTAATACAGATGGAAAACGAGATATCTGACGACTCTTACTCGTAAATTTGTTTGAAAATGCAGGAACTGCTTTGAAATTTCCGAATTTCGATAATTTTCACTAAGGGTCGATTCCGAACTATTTGTACAAAGTTTGTTGTGTAAAATATGTAAGTAAGCAAAAGATGGAAAAATATCATACCATACCTTAAGACTGTGCGCTAAAGTCAATGCCAGTTTAATACGCTGAGATTTTCTGAACAAAATTCAACTCATGAACAAGCAATAACATCAATAACAATAATTTTGCAAGACCAAATAAAATAAAGTAATGTATGAGTATTCACTACAGTTATTACTTATGACTCATGTAAGCATTTTTTTTATATTCACTTTCTTGTCCTTGTAATGTTGATATCAACCACTTTGTTTTTTGTTTACGTGCTCGATCTCTTTCTAACATATCCCGTTGTTTTTCTCTGGAAAACTTTTGAGTAAGAATTTTACGAAAAAATATTTAGAACGAAATAGAAAAAAATTTGTCACCAGAATAAAAATCTATTTAAGCTCCAGTTACAAGATTACCTGTTCAAAAACTGATTGTCGCGACGCAGCTCTCTAATTGTTCCGCGTAATTGTTTCTTGTATTTTTTAGTAAGCTGCTTGATCTCAACTTTTTTCGAGACTTTTGCTGCATTTTTTTGGTAGTGTCCTTTTGTTAAATCATATCCCTCTTCAAATCGTGGTTCCAACATTGTTAATATTCTAAAAGCGCAGACAGTCGTATAATCTTTTTAAAATAGATGTTTGTATTAAATACATCGCAATATCCAGAAATTTCTTGACAGGAGACAGACTTTTTTTGCTTGAATGGCCTTCTTAATTGACACAAAGAAGATTTCAACGACTGCGCACTGATGAATGATTCACAAGCAGATACTTCTAATAATAACTTTTCTGGATACCGATCACGAGGTAGGCGTGCTAATAAGCTCAAAACAGGCCTAGAATTTTGATTAAACAAGATTTTACTTATGAATTCTCTGAAACATGAACACAAATTTTACGAAACTTTAAAAATATGTATATTATATACGTACTTGAAGATAATTGAGAAACTAATATTGTTAGAATAGATGGTGCTGAATTTATGTAATACATTGATAGCGATATTCAAGACACATAATCGTGTTTCATCGTTCTCTTTAAAGCTAAAAAGAATAGTTTTAGTAAAGCAGTATTAATTTCATAGCAAATAAATCTTGAACTCCGGAAGATACGAAGATTGTATTAAAATGAGCAGTCATTCTAAAAATACTTAAAATACGTGATTTTCCCTAATACTAGGCAACAAAATAATTTGAAAGAACTCAACTTTCAATTTTTTTGTTTATCGATTTTAATAAAAATTTGGTAAAATCCATTTGCAAAACTAGTCATGGTGAAATGGTCCACTATGTGTTTAATATAAATGCAATGTAATAAAAATACCAGAAAAGAGAATTTGTAAAATAAATGGCAGCGTCTACCTAAAAAATTAGCTGCTATTAACAACTTCCAAAGATTTTTTAGTCACCGTCTTTCGAAGTTGAATACTATTATTTTTACCTTTGAACGAGGATGACAAGGAAATCTTTGGGAGCTGCTAACCTCTATTAACAGAATCTACAGATCCAAAAAAAGCATCCCACCTATCAACTTCATTACTGAATATATGAACTGCGTTTAACTGCTGTGACTTTGCATATGTTGAACACTGAAAAAATATCCGTATACTATACCTTTTGATTCTGTTGATTATCCCTCATAAATACCAGAAGTAAAATACCACAAATAAATTTACCTTATCAGTAACGAATAGCATTCTACGATGTGGAAGTGATATAGGGAAACTTGCTGTTGGAAAACGCTCATTATCTTCATTTTCAACAGCCGTAAGTAAAATACCACAAATAAAAGCAATTGCTTCCGGTAGATACCTAAATTCTGTGCAATGGAATATAAAAATATTATCCGAATCTTTGTGTGTCACACAGAGGCAGCGAAAATTTCTGAGAGATAAACGTCTTACTGCAAGTTAATTCACTTTCTAATATTTCTGCAATGATAGTTCACCTATTACTTTCTTCAACGAAGGAAGCAAGCATTTTGAGCATTAGTAACACACGTGCTGCATCTTTTATACTTTGTATTCGTACATTTGAAATTAGATGACACGCGACTGCAACTGTTGGACTGACAACTGGATGAAAGCCATCAAGCAACGGATATAAAACAGAAACCAACTTGATATACGCAATAAAACGAAATGTAAACATCTTGTGCGGAACAAGCATATAAGACTTATTTTGCTGCCGTAAGAGAGCGCGCATACAGTGTGTGCTATATTCAATATTGAACTGAAATACATAAAATTAAAATTTTAGTTCAGAAGAAAAAACTAAAGAGTCAACTGTCAGAGAAGTCATTAAATTTAAAACCAACTTTCATCAGAGCATGTAGTCCTCGTGATATAAAACCGAACAAATTCAATTTTGTTAGATTTCCTTTCGACAGATCATCATAATATCTAATAAAAAATAATTATTAAAAAAATGAAAATTCACTGTGCAACTTACAACCTTATGAAGTGGTTCGCATTTTTTCCAAATACTTTCGTAATTATTTACTGTAGTCATATATATAATATTTTTCCTAGTTTTATGATCATACTCCAAAAATTATTTTTTTATCTGATTAGTTCATAAATGAAGTGCCCGCAGTACCACAAGATATCGATATTAGCAAAGAAAAAAACTGAAGAAAACTACATAATTCTCACTTTCAAAACAATCACCTTACCTCGCTATTATCATGTCATTAAAACAAATGTTCATGTAAAATTCAAGTGCAAATAAAATATTATAATGGAACCTCAGAAGAAATATGAATAATCGACCAAGTCGTGATTTATTTCCTTCACGAAGACTGGGATGATAAAGTTTTATCAGTCTCATTACCAATATTTCGCAATTTTCTCCGTTTTGGACATCCAATAATTTTTTTAAATCTTCATATTTTTGAGGTAATTTGATGACAAAAGGCAAATTCACATTTTCTGGTTTCTCGTACAATATAAGGCCTAATTTTAAAAGTATAGTAGTGCAATGAAATGTGAAAAAACCAACCTCTCATGTAATATATGAGATAATCCACATTATTAATTAGTCTTAATTTACTGAACACCGACAAACTTTCATAAATTTTAAAAACGCAATTTTTTTGCAATTTATTTGAATTGTTTAGCATCTAATAATTTTGTTGAAATACAAGACTTAATTAAAGAAAAACACATAAATATGTTCTTTTCTTTGATTATATCTTGTATTTCAACAAAACGGCTTTGTCCCTGGATAGCAAAAATTGAATGAATCTTTAGTTTTGAAAGCGCATGCCTGAACATCTGACAAATATACATTACAATGAATTATCATATACATCAACACAAATGTAAAAGTCACAAATTTTCTTTTTTATAAAATTTTGCTAATACTTTTTAAAAAATGAACCTCTTTCATATTTTTAAATAACCCATCCAAATTTTCTATACTCGTCGTTACAAGTACAAAGTACTGACATGGAAATTGCATTGTAAAACTGGTCAAAAACTGAGGTATTTTTTACTGTTATTTTCATGCATCTTCAATGGAGTATATGAGATTATCGATTCCTTTACAATTCTTGCTTGAAACCACTACACAAAATGTGTTAACCAAAACTATCCATCTTAATTGTTCAGCACAAAAATTCTGGATTCACAATTTTGTATGAATAAACTGTACTTTAAAAAATTATCCAACAATCGAACCCTATCTAACTTTTTCCGTCCATAATTTTTAATAATTGAAAATACGACACACCTTTCTCTTCTTTTTCTGCAACATCATGTTGCGAAGTTGAATTATTTTCAATGCCTTGTATTATTGCATCAAAGTCTTCATCGTCATCCATTTCGTAATTGCCTGACTCATCTTCACTTGATGATTCACCGCCAATTCTAAGCGCCTTTATTCTTCCCTGTTCAAGCTAAAACTTGGAGTGGTAAGAAAGTCCTCTCAATTATAAAACCAACTACATGATAAACAAACCTAAAAGTTTTACTTTAAATTATTAGAATGAATCTTTGTATCTTGAATTTTCCACTTTACTGTACGCAAATATCAAATATTTACCTTTTCTGCATTTATAAGACTACATGAACTGTCGTATTTCACCCAAAAACTTTCCTTATCACCTTTGTCTTTTGAATTCATTCTCCTTCCTTTAACACTCTTAAAAAATATGCTATTAAGTTCAATAATAAAATGCATCATACTCATAACATGAGATCATAAACAAGCAATAATAAGTTACACAACATATACTTTTCCATATTAAAAAAAAGACAAAGATAACACTTCATTCATTTGAGCAATACGGTTTTTCTCTTGACGAATTAGGTCTTTGCGTTCCTCGCGTGCTAGTTCATCATCCGTTTTTTCCCGTTCACTTGCTTCTCCTTTTTTTCCATGATCCATTCGAAGTTCAGAGAACTGAAAATTCAGTAGCTCACTACACAATTGATATAATCAGAAGCACAATCAATCTCACAAAACAACATGCCCAATTGATAGCGATAAAAATTTCCCATAAATTCAGTTGAAAAATGAACTCACCAAATTATCATATTCATCGCTTTTAGTTTGACTGGTAGATGCTTTATCTTTGCCCGCCCTTACTAAATTGACTAGAGCACCGGTTTGCATAAGTTCCTTCCATCTATCATCTAACTTTTGCGTAGCATTTTCTCGTTCTTCGCGAGCCATTTTCTTGTCTAAACGTTGTTGCTTCGTTTGTGCTATTAGCTCAGAAATAGCATCTTTTCTAAAATTATAAAAACTAATGAGTCATTAATAGCAAATTTTCCAAAAAAAAAAAAAAAAAAAAAAAAAAAAAAAAAAAAAAAAAA